GGCTGCTTGGGGCAGCCAAAACCCTGGAGCCGGCCCTGTCTTTAACATTTAGCTTTCCAGTCCATGAGACAAGCTCCCTTGCACGTAGCATTTCTAAGATCTGATAGGGCCATTCACTAATCCTTTGTATTGTGATGTTCCTTAATGGCTCGTTGAATCTTGATAGGCCTCCTGAATGGGCAGAGGAGACATTCTCGTGTGTGGGTTCACAAGTTCAGAGAAAACATTTTCAAAGTTATAAAGCAATACTTACATATTTCCTTAAAACATGGTCTACAGACATTACAAGTGAGATTAATGAGTGCAGCAATTTGCAAGCACTTCATAGAGTCTAAACATTAATACATTCTTATAAGACTAATACCTATTTTGAACAAAACTAACAAACAGGTGAGCTGGTTTGGTTTCCAGCTGTGAGTTTGTTGGTGCTCAGCTGATGCCTACAGATGTGGCAAGAACTGGCACCTAGTCTGCCAGCGGCACACTAGGGTCTGTTTTTCCTTGTTTTTCGGTGTCTTTAATAAAGATGACTCAGCCCTGAGCTACCCATCAGTTGATTTCTCCCTCATAAATTCTTCTGTCTCCCTCTCCTCTCATTTCTGATAGAAAAAGCCTCTTTTATAGTTACTTTGCAGAGAAGTTTGTGGGAAGCACCATCAGCTGACCTGACTAGCTGAGAAATGCAACCCAGCTGCATTCCCTCTATCCTGGGGAGGAGGATCTCCAGGAGTTCCACTCCCATGGCCCCACCAGTGAGAATCCAGTTCAGTGTTAATTACCAAGCCTTCGCGTTCCCTGTAAGGCTACGGCTGGCTCTGTATACAGGTGGTAGGCTGTGTGTTTTGTGCTGAGCCCACTGCCTCTGAGTTAGTGCTTACCTAAACATCTCCTGCTGTGACGATGGGGGAATTTCCCCAGTGCAAAAAAGAACGCCGAAGGGCTGGGATCCCCTCTCACAGTAAGATGTCGTTATTACTTATTATATCATCACTTTGTTAACAATGAAAGTGTAAGTTACAAGCCTTGTTGCTCCTCAGGGGGACATGGAAGACATAAAAGAACAGATCATCAAACTGTGCCAGAAAAAAGAAGACATCCTTAGGGGTATGAAGAGTTCAATGCTGGAACTTCACCAGCACTTACAGCAAGAACAACCTGAATCAGAGGATGAACTTTCTGTGCCTCTGTCACCCGAGGAAACTGGCTTGGTTGGGAAAGATGCCTTTGAACGGCAGGTAGGTAGAACACCATGCTATCCCTTTGAATGGCCCTAACAAGAAATGGTTACATGCATGATATGGGGGCCCTTTCGGGTTATTTTTCAACATGTGGAAAAACAATGTGAGATTGCAGGAAATAAATGCAAAATGCTGGATGTGTAATTTACACTGTAAGGAATTGTTTAAAGATTTTCAGTAAATTGTTTGCATGGAACAGAATGATAGTTATCTCAATTGTAGACATGACTTTAAAAGGCTGAAAAATAAGTTAAAGGACCTGATTTTCGAGGTTGCTTAGAACCTGCAGCTTTTGATTACTTTAAATGGAGTTGCAGGTGCTCAGCATTTCTCAAAATTAGGTGCAAAATTATAACTGTTTAGCAAAAGGCAGAAGAAAAGAGGCAATTTGTGGAGCTAAGAGTAACTGGACTCTATCTCTGTATGTACATTGTAGTTGAAAAAGAAAGGATCAATGTCTCTCCTACCATCTTTAGTTGAAGAAACAGAAGACAGTTCATTCCACAGTGAAGTAAGTATAATGGAGACTTTGGTGGAAATAAGCTTTATTATGGAATAAATCAGGGGTCGGCAACCTTTCAGAAGTGGTGTGCCGAGTCTTCATTTATTCAGTCTAATTTAAGGTTTCGCGTGCCAGTAATACATTTTAACGTTTTTAGAAGGTGTCTTTCTATAAGTCTATAATATATAACTAAACTATTGTTGTATGTAAAGTAAATAAGGTTTTTAAAATGTTTAAGAAGCTTCATTTAAAATTAAGTTAAAATGCAGAGCCCCCCGGACCGGTGGCCAGGACCCGGGCAGTGAGAGTGCCACTGAAAATCAGTTCGCATGCTGCCTTCGGCACAGGTGCCATAGGTTGCCTACCCCTGGAATAAATTATGAAAAATGTATGTGTAAATGTAAACATTTGTAGAATAAATTGCAGCATTCCTAGTAGGGGATATTTTAAAATTAATTTAAAATCTGACAGACAGAAATAAAATATCAGTACATATATTAGAGTCAGATCCTATCACCCTTTGCGTAGTACTTCATTCTGTGAATGTGTCGTTGATTGGACCGCTTACATAGTAAGACTACTCAGTGGGAGTGCGGGTGGTCCTAATGTAGCAGCATCAGTGCCTGTGGCCTTTTACAAAACACAGCGTAGGGCATCCCCTTCCCTAAGGAGCTTAGAATCTAAGAGAAATAAAATAAACATAGACAAGATACAAGGCATGGGATTAAATAAAGAAGGGTGTGGCAAGATTATTGGTGGTGAAAATAAGGTGGAAAGGCTTCCTGGGAGAAATGGGCAGTGAAGGGGGATTTTTAGGTGAGAGAGGGCACTTAATGGGCGTGAACTGGGAAACTCGCTTTCAAACATAGAGGGCAACACAGAGGTAGGTGTGGAGGAGAAGGCAGTAAAGAGAGGTTTAAGGCTGGGTATGGAATGAGAGGGGGAGTAGGAGGAAATGAGAGCAGAGATACAGATAGGGATTGGTTTACGTAGGGCAGTGATACTCATACCTCAATGGTTGTAGAGCCAAATTAGTGATTAACATTACCCAAAAGAGCCACAGTAGTGTGAATTCATTGTTTCATTTACTATAGTACTATAGACTCGTAGTCAAACAGTATGACAGGAAATATTTATAAAAATACAAAATATTCTCACAGCAAAATGACTGACCAAGTATTATTATTTTATCAACTACAATTGGTTAATAACATATTAAAAGCATTCTGATTGGTCAGTGACTTAGATTGGTTAATAATTAAATCACACTGTTGTAATATGTGCTGCAAAAAGACACGTTAAAGAGCTAGTTGCGGCTCGCAAGTCTCAGTCTGAGTATCACTGATGTCAGGCCTTGAAAGTGAGGACAAAGAGCCTGGGGTTTGATGTTGTAATGTATAGGGCACCCGTGAAGTGATTCAAGAAGTGGGATACATGGGACAGAAATAATTGGCATGGCCTGAGAGAAAGATGATGACTTCAGCAGTCATACGTGGATAGACTAGTTACTCTAAGTATCCTTGCTGAAAGGCCATCATAAATAGTCAAGCAATAAACCCTGTTTAAATGTATGAACAGCGCTATCGGTTACCTTTTGACAATCATAGGGCACAATGGGCCCTTTCCTAGAGACACTATGATGCCACTACGCTTCCCTTGGATAGAATGCTCTGGGAAGAGGCAACAAAGAGTTCATTGCTATATTGTTATTATTCATTAAATGCAAGAAAATAAACACCAGGGATTTGCAATAAGCTAAATACAGCCTCTTACCCCGCTGTTTTATTTTTGATTGGCATCATAGACATATGTGACACTTCAGACAAACGAGGAAACATGGCCCTTGTTGGAAGATCTCATAGCGTAAGGCCTCACTCCTGCAAACGCACACGCTCAGTTTTAAGCACATGAATATTCCCATTGACTCTAATCATGTGGGTAGTCTCTATGAAGTCAGTGGGACTATTCATTAGAGCTGGACGGAGATTGGAATTCCTGTTCCCTGGGAAATGCCATAATTAAAAAAAATTAATTCTGAAAAGGAACAAAAACAATCAAAATCTCCCAGAGAATGGCAATTCCAAAATCGCTCTTTGAAAGACTCCCCCAGATGCCCGGGGCTTTGGTAGCATGCCAGGTGGGGAGCTTGGGAGCCAAGCAGCTTGGAGAGCTTGGGAGCTAACATTCCCAGGCTTTCTGGGCTGCCAACGAGTTGGGAGCTCCAGCTCCATGCCAGTTTCTTTGCGAGGCTGCTGAGGAGTAGGGGAGCCATGGAGCTGGGGAAAATTTTCCAGTGTAAAACTGAAATTTTCCCATGGAAAGTAAATTTTCCATCAGAAAATAATTTCACTGGAAGATTCCCAACCAGCTCTGCTATTTATATATAGTTAAAACACATGCAGAAGTGCTTGTGGGATTACTGCCTAAATACCCTCTAGACAGGGGTGGGCAAACTCTGAAGAGCGGGAGGGGTATTAGGGGAGGGGGTTTGGGCATGGGAAGAGGCTCAGGAGTGCAGGCTCTGAGCAGCACTTACCTCAAGCGGCTCCCAGAAGCAGCGGCATGTCCCTTCTCCAGCTCCTACGCGGAGGCACGGGCAGGCGGCTCTGCACGCTGCCTCATCTGCAGGCACCGCCCCTGCAGCTCCCATTGGAGCACCGGAGGGGGCCATTGGAGCTCATAGGAGCCAGAGTGGGGCCATGCCACGGCTTCCGGGAGCTGCGTGATACAGCCCCTGACCCAGTGCCCCAGCCAGAGCGGGGTCGAGCCGCGTGGTGTGGCCCCGACCCAATGCCCCGGCCGGAGCGTGGCTGAGCCGGCGCCGTAGTTTGCCCACCCCTGCTGTATGACAGAAGTTCATATCCTGCCCAGCTCTTGGTAGTGTCAAGGGTTATTACCATCTGATGGTCTTCAGTAGCTAATGGGAAATGAACTGTGATCTCAGTAATTTTTTAGGTGTATCAGCTTCTCAAAAATCATCCCAGTTGGTACAAAGTGGCATCTTTGTTGGCAGTCACAACAGAGAGACCAAGAATTGGAAGGTCAAACTCCAGTAGCCTTTCACATCTGGAGTTGTTCCCACCAGGTCAACACTAAGGCACATTGGCATGGCAGCGTGGGGGAAATGTGAACTGCTACTGCCTACGCTGTGCATGTTTGCGTGGGCAGAGAATTTCAGTTTCCAGGACTGCCAATCAAGCGCCTTTGCTGATGATCAATTTCATTCATATCAAAGTAAAAAAGACAAAGGAATATTACTTCATTGAGATAGAAAAAGTATTTTAAACACAAGCAATTTAGAATGTTTGAGATCAGTAGAAAGGGCTGTCGGCGTCTATCACCGGGAGACAGGGGACCTTTAAGTGGGGTAGAAGGGCAGCTGTGGGGTTAGGATTACTGAGTAAAGAAAGAGAACGTGCATGGCAGAAATATACCATAGAGTGGCTAATGCTTTTAGTGATTAACATTTTCTGAAGAAGCCTTTGAACTGCATGTCCTCAGGCTAATGCTGGGCTGTTGCTGTTTTCAAAGGAAAATGCAATAGTACCGACAGCTGAAAGTTTTTGGCCTTCAGGAAAGGGAGATGAGAGAGACAAAGAAGACAGCGGAGCTTCCTGGTCCTCAGGCACCCTATCAGATGGCATTTCCCTGGTAACGTTCTTCATGTTTATCTCTGCATGGGGGGATTTTTCCTTGTGTAGAGAGCCTGTACAAGGCCTATGCATTGCTTTAGTCCTCAAATCAGCCCTTGAGTGGGATTTAAGGGTGCATAGGTCTTGCGTGGCTCCTCCCAACAGGGCTGAATTTCACCCTTTGTGAGCATCCTTTAACAGTTGCCCTCTCAGCAGGAAAACAGTTTTTGTAGGTGATGTTATCTGCGAATAACACAAGAATGTAAATGCAAAACTCGGGTTAATAGAGAGTTCACCCCTCTCCCCCCATTCCCTTGATAAGAGACAAAATGAGACTTTTAATGGGTGTTTCCTCTACTCTCTGTGTGGAGTAACTTGTGGCGGATGTGCAGTGTCTGAAGCAGAAGTGGGCAGCACCTAAGCAGTCTGATCAACTCCAATCTGTTATGAGAGCTGCAGCTATCTGTCTTTCTGTACCTTTACATCAGATGTGGTTTCCTGCACTGGTTATTGGCCCAGAATGATGTATGGGTTGAGTGACTGCTGCCTTTTGAGGCTTCTAAAGCACAACAAAGCAACGGCAATATAAATCTTTCCACCACTGGCTTTCTTTTTACAGGATGCTGATGTGTTAATAGAATCATGTGATAAACATGGCAAGGAAACATCTTTTCAAGTTCCACAGAAAGCTGGAAGTGATGAAGACTCTGCTACAGACCTTAGTAATTGGGCAGTGGTAAGTATGTTGGTCTGAATTTGGTGACCTTCTGGGCATGCTGCAAAAGACATCTGTTTGATAGGGGTTTTGGAGCAGGCAGAGGGTGTTCTTCCCACAACCATGAAAGGATAAAAAGGAGCTCTTTGGGGGGTGGTTGGTTTGCTGAGTTACTGTTTGAATGATTATTTTAATTCTAATGGTGTTTTGTGGTAGCACTAGTTATGTGTGAGGGCACCTAGATCCTTGTATAGGCATCTTTCATATTATCATTAATTATTGTTGTTGTTATTTATTATTTAAATCAGAGCAAATACATATATTTACTCCTAGAAAATGCAATTTACCAGAAAACCAATGTGCATAGTTTCAGGAAGTAAATGTGCTGTCATATATGTAGGTTTCTCCTGGGGGAATTCTGCACCAAAAAATTAAAAATTCTGCACACAATATTTTAAAATTCTGCAAAATTGTGCATATTTTATTTGTCAAAATAACACAATATAATCACGCCTGTTTCAATTATTTTGGTAATTTATTTCAAAATACCTGTCAGCAAGTATGTCTGTAACAATATAGACAACAAAAAAGATTCAGGAAATGTTTTTTGACAAATAGATTCCTTTCTAAATATATTAATACAGAGCTTTGAGTAATAATTCATTTAAACTACAATACACAAATGTATTTCCCGCACCCCTCAGAAGCAATGCAAAGGATTGGGGGAATCAGGGTAATGGAGGAGCTGAGGGAGAGGGAAGTAATTGCTGAGCAGGAGCCTGGGAGTGAACCTGGGGGGTTGTTGGGTGTGGGAAATATGGAACAGGTTTTTTGAGAGGGGAGAGATTATTAGAGAGTTGGGGAGCCTCCCTCGTGCAGACCCTGGCTGACCTCTAGCCTCTCCCATTCAGTCAGGCACATCAACCCCTGTCCCCATGTGTACCTGCAGCCCCACTCAGCCACTCCCCCAATCCCATGTGTCCCTGAACCCTCACTCGGCCACCCCCACTCTCCATCCCCATGTGGCCTTGCACCCACACTCCCATTCAACCTCTGCCCCAGTCTGTCCACTCACTGGCCCTTCTGAACCCCAGTCTGTGACCCCCCAGTGACCCTGTGTGCCCCACTCTGTCTCCTCCCCTTTCCTGTGCCTCCTCACCTGGCCCCGTGGGCAGGGCACTGTAAGGAACACAGCCTCTCCCCATCCCTCTCCAGGGCTGGCTGAGATGGCTGCCCTCAGTTCTGGCACCACAGCAGCCCCTGGTGGGTGAAGGTGTAATTGCAGCACCTCTCTGGCAGAATGTATATTCTGTGGAGGAAAAAAAAATCTGTGGGGGACACGAATTCTGCATGTGCGCAGTATTCCCCCAGAAGTAGTAGGTCTGGAGAAAAGATTAGTAATCCGGGAGCCTGAGTCACTGTAGGTTGAAGGAGAGACTGATTAGATTGTGTTTCCTGCATGTCACCACTTGCTCTGTACTGGCTAGAAAGCATCAGCTAATGAACATTTACAATTTTAAAAATGAAAAACCAATCACACAGTACTTTTCAGGACAGTTTTTTATTGATACTATGAGAAATGGGATTCGATGATGGTATATTTAAGACCATTCCATGTGCACGACCTAGGTGTCCATTTTCTCTGTTTTCTTATTATCTGGAACAATTTTCTATTTCTTATGCGCCATAAATACTTTGCACATAAAAAGAGTTTCTCTTTGTATGGGAAACCCCCAGGTATTGTAGGAAGAGAGATGCAGCCTCAGACTTAGTGTAAGGTCAGTCCTAGAAAGGAAACCATACATAATATTTCCAGGATGATTATTGCGATGTTATGTGCCCATATGTTATACTGGCATCTCTATGAGCTTTCACCATTTCCCCCTGCCCCTTTCTTGCCCTATCAAAGCCAGTGGAACAAAAAATCAGAAGAACAGTTGCCTGTGACAGACAGGCAGTTGCTTCCCCGCTAGCTATCAGCAGAGGAAGCACTCTGGGATCTAGAGCCACCGCTGCTTCCAAAGTCCCTTACTGCTCCTGTAACAAATTTTCCGTTGGAGGGGTCTTCCTTCCTTGAATTGTTCTGAATGGTAATTTTGCCGGCATTGTGATTCCATCCCAGTTTCCCCCTCATATTATATCATACATAGTGATTTAAACTAATTTCTTTCTAAGATCATAAATTTACTGGACGGAGACAGAAGGAAATGAATTTCTGTAAACACTAAATCAGTTTGCTTTCTCTTGAGAAATAATTTTAGTCAGATAGACCAGGATTTTGATAATTGAATTTTAAATTTTGTTGTGATTCAGAGAGTAAACAAATTTCAAAATGTCAATGTTTCCCACTGGATAGCCATCCCATTTTCCAACAAGTACAGTTTTAAGATCTGTATTAAAGATACATTAAAAAAAAATCCTACTCTAAAAACCGGAAATAAATGAATCTGCTTTCCATGTGTATTTGAGTGAGGGAACTCATAATAACAAATATATCTAGACTGAAAGCTGAAAATCTCAGCTGACACTTCCTAATACCACACACAACCACACTTGCACATGTATATATTTAATCAGTTCGTGGATGTGTAGTGTTAAATTAGGATTTCTTTGCATTTATGTGTTTAATTCATAATGGCCATGTTCCCGACCACTTAAGAGACAAGCAACAAAAGTGATGTTTACTTATTTAATAAAGTAACACAGTGTAATATTTAAAACAATGTACTTTTCCTATCTTGTCATCCACCAACTCACATCTCAAAAGCCAGTGAATACCATACTATTGCTGTTGGTGTGTCTGCACAAACAGTTATTGTTCCACTACCACATTAGGGCCCAAATTGATAGACGTACATAGGCATTTTTGCACATGCTTGCCTTGCGCACTCAATGGTCGATTCGCATATGAAAATTAGAGATTTGCACATGCCTGTGTGTGCCTGCATATGCACAACCCCGACCTGCGTATGCATTTTTGAAAATTTGCCGACTTGTCCAAAACTTAAGAAAATGGTGTTTATCATAGAATGTTAAAGGCTGCTCCTAGGGTGATGATAAATAAAAGGGAAATGTTATTGAAGGGTGGGTTTGAGTTAAGACTACAATGTTTTCTGTGTAGCCTACATCCTAAATAAAGAATGCTTTTAAAGTCTATTTGGCACTGAACTCCTAAAAGTAGTGCATAAGTATTGCCCAGCTGCATGCTATGCATGCCTTAGAATACACCACTTTGCAATTGAACTCACAGAAAAATACCTGTCCTCTGGGATAGCTAGTTAATGAACCGTGAGTCATTGTTCTTCCTGTGTGCTCAGGTATACCTGTGTAAATGCAAATTGGCTGCTTGGAAACCTTTTGCAGCAGATCATATGATCATTCAGCGTAGTTGTTAGGGTTTTTCTTTCTGTTTTAACCTGGGAATAAGGTGACAGCCAGTGCAGGTTCATAGCTCTTGGTCTGCCAAAGTTAAACATTTTCCTCTGATAGATTTTCTGTGTTTGAATGTCCTTTGCTTCAGGGTGACACGCCTTCTTCTGACACAAACACTGGCCAGTGCTTTCAGAACAAACCAGGAGATTCAAAGGAAACAGTGGATAGCAATAGGCCCGAGCCTGAGAAGATCCTCCATGTCTGCCAGGTACAGGTTGCTGAGCTGGAGCTGTGGCTAGACAAAGCTAAAGTGTCCCTGGAATCAGAAACCCAGACCCCAGAAATGCAGCAGATGGTGGAACAGCAGCTTGCTGATTGCCAGGTAAGATTAAGTGGTCAAAGTTCACTGCTGCCAGCTAAACCAATCACCCTTCCCCCAATGGGTGTGTTTGCATAATAGCTACAATTACTGCTTCAGCTCCTGTTCCTGCGTATTCTGCCGTACACTGTAGTGAAGAGGAACCACTTGCTTTTGATTTTAGCTACTTTTTTCCAATTATCTTTTTTAAAACCATATTGTACACTTCAGTTTCCTTGTGTGTATATTTTAGTATCTGGGATCTTAGATAGGATTTACAGTATAACAAATTTGTGCTTTGTAAAGATTTACTGTAACTTACACAGATCATTTTGGTTTGCATAGTATAATGTGTATAAAAAGTTCCCCAGTTTAAGTTCACTAATAAAAGGCAGGGTTTTTTTGTTTTTTGTTTTTTAAATGAGACAGTGACCTCAGTCATGATAAAAGCTTGTTTACTGAACAGGGAATTTGCTAACCGTTTGACATTTCCATTTTATTTTACTGTAGGCTTTTCAGGTAAAAGTGCTCTAAAATTTCTTCCTAAAATGTAAATTTTTGTTTTGCACCCTGGGGCCCAATCCTGCAGACTTAAGCTGAGCTTCACTCTTGCAGTAAGAATAGTCCAATTGAAGACAATGTACATCAAATTGTTCTCTTGCATAAGTCTTTGCAGGATCAGATGGAGCTAGAGTGACCAGATGTCCCGATTTATAGGGTCAGTTCCAATATTTGGAGCTTTGTCTTATATAGGTGCCTATTACCCCCTGCCTCCTATCCAGATTTTTCACGCCTGCTATCTGGTCTTCCTAGATGGGACCTAGATGTTCCTAGATGTTCAACACTGCAACTGGACAGGTTTATATTTGTGCATGCTACCGTAGCTACAGCTCATTCCTTTTCACAGAGATCGTGTGGATCCTTTGGGGAACACAATGGCCTAATACAAAGACGCCCATTTTAAATCAATGAGAATGTTCTCGGCTAGTTTATGTACTGGGCCTGATTCCACTACTACAAATGACTACAGGCCTATTCACTCATGGTTCATACCAGGGCCTTATATAAACTAGGAAAACTAGTTTAACTCCACTATAAACCCCATTTAATACCTATATAGTCAGAGTTTAATATTTAGCTCAATTTTGACAGGAGGAACTCAAAAAGCAATATTTTTCCTGGTCTCAACAAGGCTTAGTAGCACAAGGGAGAGTAGCACAAAGCAGCCGCAAGCTCAGATATGCAGTCAAAGCAAAAGCTTATGCTCTAATAAATTTGTTAGTCTCTAAGGTGCCACAAGTACTCCTGTTCTTGATGACTGTGTCATTGTAATTGTGCTCTTACTATCACTGTTGGAATGGAGAGCCTGCACCTATAGGTCAAAGGGGAAGAGGATTTGTGGACCATGATCTCCACAAGTATGGTTCCTTACCTAGCCATGACATTTTGGACTTCTGCCAATATAAACCCTGGAGCCAAAATTTGGCCCTAATGGCATCTTCTTCTGCTTTGGTAGATAGTTAAAAACTACATTTTGAAATGGCTTCCTTTTTAAAACATACCTCTTTCTATATTAGTTAATAAACAGATTTTGTATTTTTCTAAGTATTAGTCTCATAACATGAATAGAACTCCTGGAATATTTCTGGCTTTGCAAATGGATATAATTAAAAGTTTAAAAAAAAAAAAAAAGCCTGTACTGTATTAATATAGCCAGAGCATTTTCCTTTCCTCACTCACTGACTGCCAAGTCATTTACAAGACTTACGGATCATGATGAATAATCAGCTGAACACGAACTCCCAGTGCGATGCTGTGGCCAAAAAGGCTAGTGGCAGTCCTTGGATGCATAAACGGGAATCTCACATAGGAATAGGGAGGCTATATTAACTCTATTTTTACACTGGTATGGCTGCTACTGGAATACTGTGTCCAGTTCTGATGTCTACAATTCAAAAAGAAGGATGGAAAAATTAGAGAGGGTTCAGAGAAGAGCCACAAAATGATTAAAGGATTTAAAAACATGCCTGATAGAGAGAGACTCAAGGAGCTCAATCTGTTTAGTTTGCCAAAGAGACGGTTAAGGGGTGACCTGATTAATCTGTCAGTATCTTTGTGGCAAACAAATATTTGATGTTGGGCTGGGACTGAGGGGTTCAGAGGATGGGAGGGGATCAGGGCTTGGGTAGGGGGTTGGGGTGCGGGGGGATGGTGAGGTCTCTGGCTGGGAGGGCGGGCTCTGGCGTGGGGCTGGGGATGAAGGGTTTGGGGTGCAGGAGGGTGCTCTGGGCTGGGACCGAGGGGTTCAGAGGGCAGGAGGGGGATTAGGGCTGGGGCAGGGGGTTGGGGCATGGGAGAGGGTCAGGGGTGCAGGCTCTGGGCAGTGTTTACCTCAAGCAGCTCCCGGAAGCAACGGCATGTTCCCCATCCGGCTCCTATATGGAGGTGCGGACAGGCGGCTCCGCGTGCTGCCCGTCCACAGGCACCACCCCCGCAGCTCCCATTGGCCGCGGTTCCCAGCCAATGGGAGCTTCAGAGCTAGTGCTTGGGGTGGTGGAAATGCGCGGAGCCCCTGGCTGCCCCTATGCCTAAGAGCCTGAGGGGGGACATGTCTCTGCTTCTGGGAGCTGCGGGGAGCCACGGCAGGTAGGCAGCCTGTCTCAGCTCCACTGCACTGCCGATGGGACTTTTAACAGCCCATCAGTGGTGCTGACCAGAGCCGCCAGGGTCCCTTTTGATGGGCATTCCGGTCAAAAACCGGACACCTGGCAATCCTATCTCTGGCCTATGTTATACAAGAGGTCAGACTAGATGATCACAGTGGTACCTTCTGCCCTTCAAATCTGTGCACATCAATACCATTTAAGTACTGTGGTTGCCTTCACAGCAGCTCAAAATCTAGGCAGCATCAGAGGCCACCTTTGTCCCCCAATCTTCCTGGGCTGTGACCTCTTTGGGGCATCTCTCACAGAATCTAGTCTGTAATTTTCCTGCCTTGCCTATGAATAATTGTGTATTAGCAATAGTAATGGAGTTAATGTTTCTCAATGCACAGCCTATGGGTTGAAAAGGCATTTCCTTTTGTACACATGGCCATACATACAGCTTAATTTATCATTTGCTAGCCAGGTTGGGGATTTTTTGGTAGCTATTTCTGATTTTCTCCCTCAATTTTCTTTAAACAGCTGAAGTGTGAACAGTGACTAGAGTATTAGGCACCTTGTGCTGGTAAAGATGAATAATTAACTGCTTTATTTCCTAGGTTATGTTATCAGAGATTGAACAAAAGGTCGCTTCTTTATTGGAGGATTGCAGAGATAGGCAGCAAGGAGATCGTGCAGGCCCTCAGAAAGAAGCAGAGGCTCTTTCCTTGAAGCTCAAGGATGTGAAGTGCAATTTGGAAAAAGTCCAGGTGATGCTTCAGGACAAATACAGTGAAGAACAGGTAAAAAACCTGAATACTATGCAAAGTCCTGTAAGAGACGATGTAAAATTAAGGGATGGATGCAAATGAATGTGCATGTCTGTCACTGTCATTTTAGTTCACAGTGCTGTATAATTATACTCAGCTTGCTGCTTGTAATGGGTTTTAGTGGTTCTCTGAATGATTTCGGTTTGCTTAAAGAGCACAGTGTCCGAGGTCAAGGTTTTATGAGCCACAAATGAGAGAGAATGAAAAAAATATTTTAAGATTTTTTTTTTTTAAATGTTATGTATAATAAAGATCCTGGTGGTGAAAGGTTCCAAGTGGACAATTCTAGAGACTGTAGCCCTCTCTTCAGAGAACAGGAATAGCAAGGGCAATGACAATGCAAGCTTTCCCACACTGCCCCACCAATGTCCTCCACTGGAGGATCTCCAGCAGTGATGAAAGAATAGGTTGTTCTTTGTGCTTATTCAGTACTCATCTGAGTATCTCTCTGAATATCTCTGCTGAGATTGACTCACTTATTGGCAGTCAGTTACAGCTATGGGGCTAGTTCCCCACCCCCTCTTTTTATGATGGCTTCAAGAAAGTCTGCTGGGGTGGGTGCACTGGCAAAGACGGCTGCAGGCTCACCTACCCTGGAACAGCACTGTCTGAAAGGTGAGCTGTGGTAGCCAGGGAAGGGACTGGTGGTGCTAAATTCTCCTGTTGAATACCAACATACCTCTACAAGTATCACCAGGCAGAAAATCTACACAACTTCTGGACCATACGAACCATTTGTAAGTTGGAAGCTAGTTTTACAGGCATAAATTGCACCTCACCATAGTTCATTCAGGCAAAAGTGTTCAGAGTTGGTGTCAATGGAACTTCCAAAACCATGCTTTCCTATAATTCTGCTACCAACAGTGTGGGGAAGTGAACTAATGGAAGAAAGGGCTTTACTGGGAGATGAGGATAAATTCAAGCTCTCCCCAGGTGAAACAGCACAAATATCTTTGCAGCAAGACTAAACTAATAGCCTTGTCCCATCCTTCTGAGAGATCACCCCTCGTTCATCCCCGGTGTATTTTTCAGAGCCTGTCATGATACCATCTCTCCTAAACTACACACATATATTTTGCCACCTTTTCAATTCTGAGAGCTTTCACAAAACACTGTCTCGCTTTATAGCTCAACAACAGTGAAAGGATCCCTTCAGAACGTCTTCAGCTTGGCGGCTCCAAAGTATCCAACCTTGTTACCACTGATGCGCCACCGTTCAGCAGGCGTAACGGTTTGCAGGAGCCTCAGGTAATCCTACTGCTCATCCCATAAATACAAAACGCAATTGTCTATTATCTGCTATGTTCAGATATGCTTGACTCTGAGGGCTAGACCGTGACTTGGATTATGCATCTCCACAGGGAGGGAGAGCTCTCCCTGCATTTCTGTGGGGGTTAACCTGCCTTGGGCCTGGGCACATGGGAGTAAGCAGATACTGCCTGGAGTAGTGGAGTGGGGAGCGGGGGCAGGGAATGAGCAGAGTCTTGGCTCCACCTCCAACACCCTGACCACTGCAGCTGAGGTTGAGAGGGGGAGGTGATGTAGTTTGCTCCTGGTAAATGCTAGCAGCAAGCTACTACCCCCTGGAGCTGGGGGGGAACAGTGAGTGTTATTTAACGGGCCTAAACTGATGTAAAAGAGTCATCACACAAAGCAACACTGATTAAACTAAACCAGTGCAGCTTTTGTGTGTGGATAAAGCCTTGAGGGGTTTGTCTGAGGTGCAGTATCTCCCAAGGGTACTCCTGGAGCAGGGCAGCTTATGCTGCACAGCTTGATCATGGCTGTGCCTAGAGGCATAAGAAAAAATTGTCAAAAGGAGCCTACCTCTAAGTGAAAGTGAGTGGGACTTCGGTTCCTAAGGGCCAGATTTATTATTATTTAGGTGTCTAAAGATGCATATAGGCATGTAGTGGGATTTTCTAAAGCACCTAAACACGTGATGAACCTGCTCAGGAACTTCTGAAAATCCCACTAGGCACCTTTCTGCACCTTAAACACTTAAATATCTTTGGAAATCTGGCGCTAAATACCTAAGTCACTTTTGAAAATGGGACTTGAGGCTCCAGTGTAATTGAGGTGCTTTTGAAAATTTTACCCGCAATCTACCCCACAGTGGCTTTTAAGGTTACCGTTAGCAGATTAAAAATATGAGGTCATGTTCTCTGTTCTGTAAGTAACACTGTAGATTCTGCTGTTTGAAAATCAGCTTTTCCCTTTTTGTGCCCTCTCTCTTTGAAGATTACTCAAGTAAGCAATCCAGACTGAATCATTGGATACTGGAGTTGCTGAATTGCTAATTCAACTCCCTCTCTTAATTAAAGACACACGGTTAAACATAGTGGTTCATACTCAAGCAAAAGTCTCATTGAAGTCAATGGGAGTTTTGCCAGAATAAGAATGGAAAGATATGTTCCATTATTTCACAGTGTGCTCTGTTCTCCTGCCCTGGTGTGATAGCCATCAATGAAGGCCACTAGAGAGGTTGTGGAATCCCATTATTGAAGGTTTTTAAGAACAGGTTTGACAAACACCTGTGAGGGATGGCCTAGATATACTTAATCCCGTTTTAGCATGAGGGGCTGAACTAGAAGACCTTTTGAGATGTCTTCCTGCCCTACGTTTCTATGATTTTATTATTAGCTTTTAGATCTCAACATAGGTTAAAAACAATTCCATAATGTTGTATCATCTAAGAAAAGTTATGTATTTGGTAAAGTTATGTGTAGTTCACATGTGTATAATCAGTTGCTTTTTGTTTTGGTAGCTGTAATTTTTTTTTATTTTTTTTTAAGTGAGCAACCAAGACCATCCTTTGAGAAGAACATGGTTTACACTCTTTACTTTATCATTCATGTTGTTCCTTATTTCCAGGACCTGCCGTTAAAACCGACTGAGCAAAATAATCTTGTTGACTTCATCAAATTTTATGTAGAAAAAATGCAGCCATGCTTTGATGACAGCACTACTCAGAAATTAGATTCAAGGTACAAAATAGAAAAATTAGTCACTGAGCATGTATTATATGGCTTCCAAAACACCATATGGTCTGCAGGATTGCTGTAGCACAGGAGTTTCTCACACAGGGGTGTATTGCCAAAAAAAAACCAAAACCAAAACAAAAAAATCACAGAAGGAAAAAATCTGCCAAAAGCTGTGCAGTTTACTGGAGATCCAATTCACACTGTAGTATCTCCTGAAATTGGTACATAACTCGTGTGTTTGTACAGAGCCTACCACAATAGGGTCCTGGTCCATGACTAGGACTCCTATATGCTATGGTAATATACATTATTATTATTATTATTGTGTGTCATAAGCTATGGTAGGCATGACCACAAAAACTTATAGACAGAGGTAGATCAGGCACCTCTGTTCTCCTTATTTCACAATACAAAAACAAGGGGACATTCAGTGATAGTAAAAAGCAGCAAATTTAAAACTAGTAGAAGGTTAGAAGTTTTCACACACAGTGTACAATTAGCTTGTGGTTATCACTGAGGCCAAGAGCTCGGAAGTATTCAAAAAAGGACTGGACATTTATATGGATAATGAGAACATCCAGAGTTAGAATAGTAAGGATCTTTAAAAAAGGAGTTTGGGAAGTGGTATAATCCCTCATATGTCAGGGCATAAGCCAACTTCTAACTGAGGAGAGCTGGAAGAAACTTGCCCTACAGGCATGTTATTGATGCTTTACAATTAATTAATTCCAGATACGTGCCAAAGTTTTGTAATGTATGCAGTTGTCACCTATAGTTATGTATCCTGTTGCCTTAAGATACATCTACATTTAGGCAATGTGTAGAGTACAGACACTGCACACACAGCTGGCATGGGTATAAATAGAAGCACAGGGAGTGAGGCATGGCTGGTGTGAATAGAATAGAGTGCTCTACATGCCTGACCCCTAGGTACCTATCCTACACAGCTCTCTACCCACCCAAGCAGTGCCTTCCATGTCTACCCTGTTATTTTTAGCAGTGTAGCGTCCTGCTGCTTCCCCTGCTGGAGCCATTCCCAGCTGCACTGAAAGTCTCTCGCAGCAGGCAAAAGCTCAGGCAGAGGGGAAAGGCTCCTGCCAGAGCCCTCCCCACTGCTGGAGCCTTTCACTGCAGCATGTAGCTACACATGTAGTGCCTGTCCTGTACGTGCCACTGTAAGCATAGACATAGCTTTAGCCTTCTGCTGTGCTGCATTGCATTCTGCCCCAATACTGTGTGCTACATCATGCCCATGCTTTTAAATGTCTGTGGTGCTGCCTAGAATATTATGCTGATGGTAATTAAAAATAATACATCACCTGACAGCCAGGGAATATAAATATTCACTGAAGGCTTTTGTCTATCATAATAATAATGTTTAAAAAAACCACTATCTTTTATTTCACCTCTTTAACACAACATTTGGTGATAAGCTAGTACTGAATGAAAGGGAAAGTTTGAAGGAGGATTATTCTTATTAGTTACTATTTCTGTTGTGCCAACTGTATGCTAAGTACTATACAGGCATGTGGAGATACGGACCCTACCTAAGCTGACAGTTTAAGGCCCCCGTCCTGCAAGGATATGAGTAGAAGCTTAAATTTACATGCTGGAGTCATCTCACTGAATTCAAGAAGTCATTGAAGGCAATGGGACTGTTCACAATGCATAAAGTTAAGCGTGTCTATAAATCTTCGCAGGATTGTAGCCTAAGTGGATAACAAGCAAAACAAAAGTGGGAGGAAAGGGAGTGGCAAAAGAAATGTGATTAAGGGTGAGGCTAAAATCACATTCTATTGGTTTCACTGTGGGTATATGGGGGGCAGGAGGGTAGGTTAAGGGAGATCATTCTATACACACAGTTGTAACAATCTAACAATATGCTAATCTTTCCTTGTTCTTATGATCATGTTGCCCGAACACAACAGTGACTTATCTATCCCAAGGAGTGAGTTTGCTGGTCCATTTTTAAAGGACCAAACTGGTGATAAGTGGCAATATTTACAACAAGAGCTGGCTTCTACGATGAAGTCTCCTCTGTGTCAGCTTGCTGACCCTCAGGTTTGTTTATGTTCCTTCCAATACAAAATCATTACTACCTTTGAAAGTGAAAAAGTTACAACTAATATGTGCTCCTTCCTCAGATACGGCAAAGGCATAAATGAATACATTTTGCTTTCTGTATCATCATATTGTCTCTCTTAACATCATTAAATAATTGAAAACTGTGTAATAGCTGTCCAGTTGAAATCGTGATTTATAGCAGTCAGTGGTATCGTTACACGGCATTTTTAGTATTCCTGTTTCTCTCTCTCATCCTTGAAAGCCATTATGAGTAGTCATTAGTGCTTTTCTTTAAGTTTCTGTTAGATGGTGTCACTGCAGTGGTGAGTGTAGTAAGTAGCATGAAGGCCGTCTAGATGAATTCTTGTATTAAATGGTTGGGCCTGATTCTATCTTTTTTTATTTCAGCTGGGATTTTCAAAAGAGCCTAAGGGAGTTAGGTGCCCAACTCCTAGCCTTAATTAAATGATTGGGTAGAGATTAAAGCCCAGTTCTTGCAGATGCAAACATTGATCGCAGGGACAAATTCTGTCCTGACATTCACCATTGCGGAACTCAATTGTCCTCTATGAGGATGTACATGGTGTATGTCAACGCAAAGTTTGAGCTGCAGGGATTGAAGATTTACTGTGTGGGAACATGAATAGCTTGTAGTGTTGTCAGTTTTGTTCGTTGATATTAAAAAAAATTAGTAACTACAAACAAGCTGAGATTTTGTGTTCTCGGAAATGATTCCATTACATGGGACAATATCAGTTACTCAAGGAGGGTCATGAGTGGTGAAGGACTGGAATATGCAGTCCTCGCTCAGGGAGAACTCAAACAGAAGTAAACAGAGGGGTTGCCTTACTGAGTACTGCAGCCTGTAGTTTCGAAAGACTGAAACTCATAGGGCTACATTTTCAGCCAAAGGCCCAAGTGGCCCCTTTGCATGCACATAAATAGGTTTTTGTGGATGCAACAGGTGTGAAAACCTTTTCGCAGGTGAACTTCCTGCCTGTTAGTGAAAATGTGACCCATAGGATCCAGATGGTGTTATTTTAATTTTTTGTTTCAAAAATAATATTATGTAGCAGTATGGTTCCATTTTTAATCTGAACCATTAATCTAACTGTAATGTGCTTTTCCAAATGTTAGATTACAACAAAACTGAATATTCTGCCGAGAGGTGCTGTATGTAGTATTAGAACCCCAACTGTCGAGGAACTGAAAACTTACACCATGCAGCTTGGAGATCTAAGCCAAGAAGCAAATGTTGTGCAGACACAGGTACAAATCACATGCTCTATAATTCCCAAAATGACAAGGACTTCTAGAAAGCTAGACATAGCTTTGGCACTATGAAGCACAGCTAGTCAGTAACCATGTTCCCCCCAAACTGAGTGTATTATAGAGGCGGGCTTTGGTCAGGTTCTTAATGCACTGTAGAATCAGGTCTGGATTTTGAGAAGCGTCTTCTCATTTTTCAACCCCAACATTAGCTATTGCCTGGATGCAAACATTTACTGGCACAAGTGATGTCATTTGCACATCAAAATTGCAACATTAGATAATCGGTCATGTACATGACCATGTACATGACTTCAGTTGGGTCTGCAATTGGGTCTGCAATATTGCATGGGTACAAAATAGAAGGTTGGGGTAAGGACTGTTTCCAAATCAGCCATTCAGTATTTTACTAACTCTTTTTATTACTAATAGCATGAGTTGGCTGAATATTTCACGGTTTTATACACGTTTCTTTAGTCCATGTTCTTGCTCAGTATCATCTCTGACTTGGTCGGAAGCTCTGAAAAATGCTATAATTTGTCTTCATCCAGGAAAATGGGGCCGGGGAAGCTTCCTTAAATTTGGACAAAAAGCTCTTTGAGCTGCTTTTGGCAATCAGTCGGTGTTTGAACAACATGGAAGAGATGTTAAACACCTGCGTGCTCTCCAATGAAGAGGCTGCTGTGCAGCAGGGACTGTATGAGGTAAGCGCACCAAAGCATAGATGGATGGGCATTAACGGGTTTCTGCTACAGCAAAATAGATAGGTCTCCTCTCTCACTTACACTGGTGTAAATCAGGAGTAACTCCACGAAGTCGGTGGATTTACACGGAAAAGGCGAATCAGGCCCATTATATTTGAGTAAAAGTAGCAACCTGAGTCCTGCTGGTGTTTTTAAAAGTTGAATCTTCTCTAACAAGGACCATTTTCACTAGCCTTCTCTACTTTTCAATCCTTTAGACTCTGTCTCTAGAGCTGCAAAAACTTCACACAGATATCAGAGATAAAAAGGATGATCTTTTAAAGTCTATTACCTGTGCCGATGGGAGCGCTGATGTATTCTTCGAGTGCTTTAACAACTTGCAAGCCCGGCTGGAACTAACTCAAACTGCTGCTGCTTCTAGAAGCAAATCAATGAAAGCTGGGCTGGATCACAATAGTAATTATCAGGTACTGTACTGCTGAATGCATGTCTTGTTTCACAGCATCTGTTAGACGTGTTAGTGTTAATGCATTTTGGATTATAAATGATCAGTATACAATGGACATTAAAAAAAAAAAAAAAAAAAAAAAACCAGAAAAAGCTTTTCCTAGCTTATTGCTGATTTCAGATACATCCAGGAGTAAATCCTGTCATGTCCCTGCTCCCCACAGTGATAGTTGCATTGGGCTATGATCACAGTAGACGTGTGTGTGCAGAACGAGGAGGGAAGCAACCTGGGACCCCATGCAGGGGGTTGTCACTCCTCTGCAGAGACGCTTGTTGCACACTAACATGCTGTAGGCTATCGTATAGGAGGGGGCTGGAGGCTTGCTTCTGCCAGCTGAGGATGCAGGAGCAGTGGGAGTTATTACAGTCCTGAAGGCAGCATTAGCCACTGCAGATTGGCTTATGGGGAGGATTCCTTCTCCCCTGGCCCTCCACAGCTCAGTCTACACCGGCACACAGTGGGCTGTGCACTGGGAACAGATTTAGCTCATAATGCTCACTGTATTTTGTTGGGGGTTTTTTTTGCTATACTTAGCATGTGCCACAGTACTGGGTGTCATAATATTACAGTCTTTATTCTTCTGTGAAAGAGGGGAAAGAGTGATGTGAAATGTTCTGAAAGTACCCAAGACAAGGAAACAAAAACAGTTAGTCTGGGCACTATCCAAGATCCTACAGAATGTTAACACCAAAAGGCTGTGTTTCCTTAGGAAAAAGATTGTGATTTTTGTTATGAAGTATAGGGGCCACATCTGTCCTTACTCAGGCAGATTCCTATTGAAGTGAACAAAAGCAAAGGAAGGACCTCGGGATTTGGCTTACTATGTTCAAACAAAGCTCCTGCGCCCCCACTGTTTGAGTATAAATGTAGATACTTCAGTGCTAAATTTCTATTACTGTGGAGAATATTTGATCCTGTATCAAAATATAAGGGGAACCAATCCTGCAGTCCATGCTCAGGCAAACTTACCATTCGTCTCAACAAGGCTGCCATACAGGGCTCATTTTCTTCAGAGCAGGAGATTTTGTACCTCCTTATATATTTCATAGATTTTAAGGCCAAGAGGAACCATTATGATCCTCTGATCTGACCTCCTGCATAAGAAGAACAGTAAGAGGCCAATATGGCTTCATCAGGAGCTCTTTAATGACCTGAAAATCAAAAAGGAACCCTACAACAAGTGGAAACATGGACAAATTGCTAAGGAGGAGTACAAAAGAATAGTGCAAGCATGTGGGGATGCAATGCGAAAGACTGCGGCACAAAATGAGTTACACATAGCAAGGGACATAAAAGGCTATAAGATGAGGTTCTATAAGTACATTAGGAGCAAGAGAAAGATAAAGGAAAGTGTAGTTCTGCTACTTAGTGGGGAAGGAGAGCTTATAATGGATAACACCAAGAAAGATGTGGTGTTTAATGTCTATTTTGCTTCAGTCTTCATTAAAAAGATTAATTGTGAACAGGTGCTTAACACAGTTAATATTAACAACAAAGGGGGAAAGAACACAATCTGGAATAGGGTAAGAACAGGTTAAAGAATATTTAGATTAGTTAGATGTATTCAAGTTGGCAGGACCTGACAAAATTCACCCAAGAGTACTTAAGAAACTAGCTGAAGCCATCTCGGAACTGTTAGCTATTATCTTCAAGAACTCAATATGATGCTCTCCTTAGGGCAGCTCAGAACTGAAAGCTACTGTGTTATCCCTCTGCCTAAGCAAGTGTGAGCTCTGCTGCAGATTAGACTGTGTGTCAGCTCCCTACCACACGAGTTTGTCCAATTCACCAGCAAACTCCTCAAGACTCTGCCAGTCTTAACCTTGCCTTGCAGGTAGTGATCAGTGAACCCCAGTTCCCAAGTACCCCAGAGACGTCTCTCTCTAGTGTCCAGTCCCATTCATTTGACGCTCACAGAAATTATTAAGTTCTCTGCCTGCAAAGAGACAGTGTACACACCAGCCTGTTAGGTTAGCTGAGGACTCATTCTGTACTTCAGTATAATGACACTGAGATGGTTTATAGTAAAACTAAAAAGAAGTTTGTTAACAAAGAACAAAAAAGAGAAAAACAGACAGAAATGGTTACAAACAAAGCAAAACATGCTTTTTATTGACTAAAACTTAATTTTAGGAAGTTGCAGTCTTTGCCTAATCAGTTTTCTCACTTACATCAGGTTATGTACCAGCATTTCCAGCACTCCAGGCCAGAGGATCCAACTTCCACAGTCAGAGGGTGCTGTTCCCTTTGATAGATAACTAAGGGGTTCTCTCCTCTTCTTATAGTCCAGTAAACCTCTGAAATGTATTTTTGCAAAGTAAACCCAGACCCTGCTAGGGTGTAGATGCCATGCTGTCTTCCTCATCCTCTGGTCAATTTGCTTTTTTGATTGGCTTAATCACTTTGTTTCCCTTAGATGTAAATGTACTTCCATTGTATCTGGCCTCACTTTGCTCAATTTACATTGGAGATACAGGCAGGCTGGTGAAACAACATTCCTTTGTCTACGACAAACTTGTTTATCTTCTCTACTCAAATTGCGTGGTCTGAACATAGTTTAGTAACATATTTCCAGCACACATACATAATTCTTTACACACTAAGTGGACATAAATCATGCACTATTATTAATGACCAGCGAGTCACCTGTTTTTATATGAAACCTTACAGGACACCGCTTGGCTATATATTCTGACAACAGTGTATTGGGTGTGCCCTTTGCCAGTTGGCATACAAGGGGTCTTAGGGCCATACTCATGGAGGATGGGTGAGGACTGGAGAAGGGCAAACAGGACCTATCTCTAAAAAGAGGAACTTGGGGAATTAAAGACCAAACAGCCTAACTTTGATACCTGGAAAGATACTGGAACAAACTATTAAACAATCAATTTGTAAGGATCTAGTGATACCCACCATGGATTTGTGAAGAACAAATCACGCCAAACGAACCTAATTCCCTCCTCTGACAGGGCTGTGGATTGGGGGAAGCAGTAGACATGATATATCTTGATTTTAGAAAGGCTTTTGACACAGTCCCAAAGGACATTCTCATAAGCAAACTAGGGAATTGTGGTCTAGATGAAATTACTATAAGGTGAGAGCAAAACTAGTTGAAAGACTGTACTCAAAGAGTAGTTATCAATTATTCTCTGTCAAACTGACAGGCTATTATCTAGTCGCGTCCCATGAAGGTCTGCCCTGGGTCTGGTACTATTCAATATTTTCATTAATGACTTGGATAATGGAATGGAGCACATGCTTATATAATGTGCAGATGATACCAAGCTGGGAAGGGTTACAAGCACTTTGGAAGACAGGGTTAGAATTCAAAAGGACCTTGAGAAATTGTAGAATTTAGTCTGAAATCAACAAGATAAATTGAATAAAGTGCAAAGTACTTCACTGAGGGAGGAAAAATCTAAACATTAATACAAAATGGGGAATAGCTGTCCAAGCAGTAGTACTGCAGAAAAGGATCTGGGGGTTATAGTGGATCACAAATTGAATATGCGTCAACAATGTGATGCGGTTGAAAAAAAGGCAAAAATCATTCTGGGGTGTATTAACAGGAGTGTCATATGTAAGATATGGGAGGTAATTGTCTTGCTTTACTTGGCAGTGGTGAGGCCTCAGCTGCAGTACTGTGTCTAGTTCTGGGTACCACATTTCAAGAAAGATGTGGACAACCTGGAGAGAGTCCAGAGCAACACAAATGATAAAAGGTTTAGAAAATCCTTTCCAGCCCTACGTTTCTATGATGAATACAGACTGTAGAATTTCACCCAGTGATTCCTGAATCGAGCCCAGAGCATGTAAAAAATGAGTGATCAAAGTGCCATGCTGAATCACCATTCAAGTGTCTTTTCACTGTATGAGATTTATCACTGCCATTTATTATTGAGTACACTCCTGCTATTATCTGTTCACAGAATGAAATCAGGCTGTTGTATGATCAGTTAATTGAGAAAAAATCTACTCTGCAACAAACCTTGAATGCAATACGTGGGCATAATGTTGCTGAACAGCTTCAGGTAATTAACTCAAAATACTAAGTTAAGGCAAAATTATCTAGCACTGGACAATATTGCCTGGTTTGTGTCCGTGGTTTTGTTTTTGAAATGTGAGAAATAATTTCATATTTTCTAAGGCAAATGTGGGGGAGAAGGCCCAACGAACCACGCCCCATACGCACACACACTATGCCCCCATGCAACAGCAGAGCTGGACTGCAGTCCCGCCACTAGCTGAAACATAGGGCTCACTCGCTCTTTGACTCCCTTGGGGTGCCAGTCACCCCAACCAGACAGGTTAGGGCAGAGAGGAAGCAAGACAAGATACACAAAATACACTCAAGCACAAAATACAGCCCTTTATATGTAACAGCCTTAATTAGAAAGTCCCTTGAGCTTCCCCTTATGGAAGAGGGGACACTAGTATTTATTTCAGACCTCCCAGCAGTATAAGTATTCACATAAGGCATACCTAGTAAACGGATGTTAACAAATGCAACAAACACCATGGCATTCGTAGTATGGTACATGAATCAGTTAACCTACCCTCTCCTAGTTAAGGGCTTAAAAGACGCTAGGGAAGGACAGACAAGATGACAGGATAGTTAAGCTAAGGGCAGATTGCATGCCCTTTCCAGACCATACAACAGCCGCCGACACCTAACCCGCTAAATCTGAAAATCATACAAATCTAAAACTTCCCTTATTTCAGAGAACTCCCTACACCAGGTGTCTAGTGTTCACTGGAAAACAAAATTCTGCACCCTCAGAGGTGATGATGTGTTTTTATTATGACTACTACTGATTTAGTAAAAATAACTGTGCATGGCCCAGTGCATAGGACACTGAACTGGGAGATCTGGATTATTTTCCTGGCTCTGCTACTGGCTGACTGTATGACCTGGGGCAAGTCACTTTCCTTCTGTTTCCCCTGTAGGTCTTGTATATTTAGATTGTAAGCTTTTGAGATAGGAACTCTTTCACTGTGTGTTTGTAAGTGCCTAGCACAATTAAGTCCCAATCTTTAACTGCTATCATAATACCGATAATAATAGTGTAAAACTTAAAGGAGCAAAACTACACTTAATTCCTCATTATATCTTTTATTCAGAAAACTGATACATATGCATTGGAGCTACACAACTTTGAGACCCAAATAGCAAAACTGAGAGATCGTGGGGAGAGATTTCAGTTACCTGTTGCTCTGATCCATGAAGTTTATAAATTAGAGGTAAGAATACAGAGCAATCAACATTCTATCCTGCAAGATTTGACTCTTCAAAACAAGACACTTTAGCAGTGAAAGGTTTAGGGCCATCTGGCATCCTGGCACAATACGATCCTCTAGAAATGGTGCGTGCAGGTCTCTGGGTTGGTTTATATCTTGCAAGAAATAAGCTCATTGAATTTTGTTTAATTCCTAGGATGTTCTGGATGACACTTGGGGGGTTCTGAGAGCCAAGTACGAGGAACTAAACTCTCCTTTCATCAGCGAGAGCCAATACGAAGGCTTGATTCGTGGGTTGGCAGAATTGGTAGACATTGGACGAGAGAAGCTTGCTCAGGACCCAAAGCAGCTAGCCAAAAGTAGAGCTATTTTACAGTCTCACCTGCAAAATCACAAGGTACAGCATATGCGACACAGCACGGCTCAAATCATTGTAGAGTATGACTTTCTGTGACTGACTTTTCTCAAATATCATTGCTGAGTAGTTATTGCTATTTCTCCTAGCATAAGAGAGAGTCTGAGGTACTTGAAGTAAATGCGGTAAATATTTTGAGATAAATAGGATGTTTTCAAAAACAGTAAGTAAAGAGGCCATTTTCATGCTGCTGGGTTTTTTCCCCACTCTGCTGATTGGTTTGTTGCGAAGGGTTTTGTTGTTGTTGTTTGGTCACCTGGGGGGAATGGGACATGAGGGGGGAGGGGACGGTTAGGGCAGAGAAGAAGCAAGACAAGATACACAAAATACATTTTCTGCCCTAGCTGGCAAAACAAGTATGGTCGCTCCTGGATGGAATCGCACAATTTTGGGGACCTCTTTGGATCGGGGTCTGGGTTTGCTGATCCATTTATCCCTGGTTCGAGCTACCTCAGAATGTATCAAAGTGTCAGGAAGATGTTTTATTTTATATCCAGTATTTTTTAAATCTGTGGTAAAGTTAATTAAGGAAGAATGTGCAGCCTAGTGGAGTGAGCAGGGATATGGGCATAGGGACTCCTGCGTTCTACTCCCTGTTGTCAACTTTCTGTGTGACCTTGGGCAAGTCTCTCTGGGCTAGACCATGGCTTTTAGCCACTGGGATGAGCAGGTGATAGTATGGAGGGAGCTTCCCCTGTGAGCAGCCCAGTGTGTCAATGTGACCAGCCCTCTCTGGATCTGCTTTGTCCCCTTCCTGTGTGCTCCTCCCTGCCCCATTTGGGTGCTGAGCTCCTGGGATCATGGAGAAGGAGCATTTGCTGTTTCATTGGGTGCAGGAACTGCACTTGTGACAAACTAATTGAGCTCCCCAGCCCTGCAATCCCATATAAGGTCCTGCCCCAATCCATCTCTTAACCATTCCTTACTTCAGCTAACACCACTATAGTATAATGAATATTATTTACCTGGTTCACAGGTGTGTTTGAAGTCCTTGGATGAAACAGTATATAATGAATGCAAGGTGTCATTATTATTTATGATTAAAATCACAACAGATGTCTTCACATAATACAAAGAATCTGATTTCGATGGAGCACTTGCTATAAAACAGAAAAATAGGCTTGAAACATGTAGTGTTGGTTTTTCAGGGCTTTTTTCACAAGCTCATCGCGCATGTGCTTGTCGTGCAATCGTATTCCAAGAAGGTGGCTCCTGCTACATTACAAAAGAAAGAGAAATTCTGGACTAAGCTGGTGGAAGATGTCAGATCGCTGGAACAAAAGGCTTCCCAATATGGCATACGCATAGAGAGTTTATTAAAGGTAACGGATTAGAATAAACTTGGTATGGAAAATGGAACCCTTTCTATGCTAGAGATACTCTGGCCAGCAGCTATCTACTACCCATGTCTGTTTGAGGGTAGTGACTGACTGTTCATGCTCTGAGTGTTAGTAATTCATTTCTTTCCCCTCAAATGTGGAATTTACATGCCTTCCCTCCCTCCAACATGAATGGGAATTCCTGTAACATGCCTGTGGTACTTCCTGAACACCCAGACTGAGAATAAAGACCTGTGTGGCACAAAAATACCAATAGTACATTAAAATGAAAACAAGTTTTAAAAACCCAAGTTTAAAAAAAAAATCATAAACAGTTTTTGAGTGAGAAATCACTTGTGTGTTAACTGAAATCCTCAGCTACTCTTTAATATATGTTCTCTCTATATACTCTTGTTTTGACATTGTTTTGTTGGTTGAACTAAGAATAATGTGTAAGTGTTAAAGCATCAGCATTTTCAATGTTTAGCACAAGCATAGAATAAGAGGTGCACTACATTAACATATGGCTTGTGTTTTAGGAATGGACAGAATTTGATGAGGACTATGTACCTTTCAACAAAGAATTAGAGGCGCTTGCTTCTGCAGTGCCTTCTGTGAATTTGGTAGAAGAGACAGAAGAAAGATTAATGGAGAGGATTACACTTCTCCAGGTATTTTTATTTCTGTTTAATCACTTTTTTTGTAGGATCATGGTACACAGTATATGGCAAAAATACTGCTTTAGAAATATCTGCTTAGCACATGCTTAATGTCCTCCAAACAGAGTCCTTCCCATCTCCCTTTTAGCCAAGGTAGCAACTGTAGTCTGTGCCCAAATGTATGTTTCCATATGAAAACAAAGCTTTTTATACCTTTTAAAAGTACTGGGGAGAGGGGTATTTGTAGCCACCAGTTTCAATTAGTTCATTTATGAAGAGAGAGTCCCTGCAGCTGCTCTAAAAGCTGACATTCAGATATATACTCCAGTGATACACAGAGATTATGAGCCTTATTCAACTCTCATCCATGTGAGGTGAGAATCAGGCCAGTGTTTCCAAATATTTGAGCCGCTCTTTGTAGTGAGAAGTCTATCAATTCTATCAACCTCTTCCAAAATTCTGGGAAGAACAGTTAAATCACCTTGACGTCTCCTCTTTTCCAAGGAAAATAAAGTTCGTTTTCTGGAGAAAGGCAGATAGACATTTGATCATTTGTTCCAAACATCGGAGAAGTGCTGTGTATCTGAAGGCAGAACTGGTCCTCACTTAGGACGATACAGTTCTTGAGTTAATATAAATGAGTTTAAAACACATAATGTATCCTGTTAATATGTTTGTCTGCTGGTGCTCCTTAGACTGAGTGATATATGCTTAGGGCTGATCCCCATTCCTGGGGAGTCTGTCCATTGTCTTCTGAGGGCTGAGGCTGAAAGTGTGGAAGACTAACCTACCTTAACTGAAGAGGCATGTATGTTTCTTGGAATTATTTCTGTTAGGAGAAGGAACGATTTTAGGTTGAACACAGCATGTAGAAAAAACAGAATAGTTACAGATTTGCATATTATTCCACCTAAAACAGTGGTGGAAGTTAATTGTTTTTTTGTGCCAGCACTTGGCTTTTGCACTCTTCAGGGAGCATGTTGTATTAGCAGTATTGGAGCTCCCATACCCTTATGTCCATAGTGAGTCAAGCTTATAAACTTCTATCCTGTTTGCCTGCATTCTGTTTTTTTTTTTTTCACTACTGCTTGATTCGGTGCATGACTTTAATTTCAAATAAATCCTTTTACCAACCCAAGAGTATTTTGTGTATAACAAGGAGTGTTTTCTGACTGTGCATATTTGTGTAGTGCCTTTATAGAAGTCCATAATCCAAAGTAAACAAATGGATATGAGATTATTTGGCATTGCAAAGGAATGACTTTATCAAAATCATTAACTAACTCTGATGAACACAGGTGTCACAGATTATCATTTGAATTTGTATTACGAGATGCCTCAAATGGGCCATAATAATTCTGTTTCATGCGGTAGAGCCATGTCATGCTATTTCATGACATGTCAAGATACATCACAAGGTAATATGAAAAATAACTTGTCTCCATTATTCTTACCACTGTTCATAACAGAAAATAAAATAAATGCCAGTTGTGAGAATAAAGTGCATGTTTTAATAGCCTATTTCCCTTTTAAAATATGCTATTGTTGTGCAAACTATTTATACTTTGCTAGCAAACCAAAAGAAACATTGATGAAAAACATGCCAGACTGTACCAGATGGTGAAGGAAGGGAAGAAATTGATGACTGTTGTGAGCTGTCCTGAATTAGTAAACCAAATTGGGAAACTAGAAGAACTGTGGTTGTCCTTAACCAAAAAAGTTGGCCATGAGCTGCACAGACTTCAAACATTACTCAAACTCTTGGTCAGGTAAGTTTTTAGTCAAGGGGCAATTAGGGTTAGCCACTGCTATTTGGGGTTTCTCACAAATTCTTCAGTACCCATATTTCCTGAATCATGAGATCAATGTAATTAAACTACAGAGTTTGTGCATCTGTTTGTGGAAAACAAAAGTCCAATTATGGTCAAAAAATGACTATATTAAAAATGTCATATTGTTACTGAATGGATCTGCTCCCTGTGTGTAGTCAGTCATATTTGCTTCCTTTATGACAAAAATGTCTTCACTCCTGTTGGCACTGCAAGGCCGACATTTCTAGGGGAGACTGAGCTGGATTCTATTCTGACTCGCACATCAAAATTGTTAACTAAAGTGCAGATTGCGCTCCCCTGATTTGCACACGGAGGGTACCCACTGGAGCTGTGCTGTCAAAGACCAGGGGCTGGTGTCTGAGCCAGTGTGAAGACATTGCCTCTTCACAGATGATCCAGGCCTCCAGCAGAGCCCCTGAGATCCATATGCAATTGTGTGGTCAATACAGGAAGACAGTCTTTCAAGGCTCAGCAGCTCTGAGGCTGTCTCACAGGCCATAAATATGTTGGTTATTTCTCCAATCAACATGCACATGCTTACAGGAGAACAGAGTTGTCATATATCAGTTCTGTGCTACTGCAGTGATGCTATCAGAGGTGGAGGGCGGGGATCCTGTCCTGTATAAACCTGTAAGTGCTGGCAGCATACATCTTTAAGTGGATGGAAGGACAATTCTGAGAGGAGGAAAGAAATGTGTTATAGTCTCTACTAAGGGATTGAGTCATTTCTAGTCCGTTAACCTGTCTTGTTTTGTTTCTGTAGCTACAACAGAGACTCAGACAAGTTAATCAAATGGTTGGAGTCTGCTCAGCAGAGAATGAATTTTTGGAAGGAGCAGTCTCTCAATGTGTCACAGGACCTACATACTGTCAGAAACAATATAGACAGCTTGTTTGTAAGTCAAAAAATCTACAGCGTTTAGATGCCAGATAATAATCCCCCCCCAAAATGACATTGCAATATGGCCAGAATCTGCCAGCAGGGCATAGCCCTGAGTATGAAGTGGGGTAGCACTGCACTGCTTCCAGGGTTCCTCTGGGAAGCAGCATGTCACAGTCCTGCTGCTGCTGTTAAAAGGGGGTGAAAGAGATTGGGGGGATTTAACTCTGCTGAAGATATTTCTGTGGATGGGTGGATATGAACCAACCAGCACCTCAAAGACAAGGGACAAGGAGATCTGGGCACCCTGAAGATCCTGATAGGTGAGAGTTATTCCCCTCAACCCCCCAAAAATGGAAAGGAGAGGGTCTTTCAAGACATTGGCGTTCCAACCTGAGAATAAAGCACCAAATATAGGGGTCCTGTTGGGTGAAAGGGGTTGTAGGTGGCAGCATATTGGGGTTAAAAGGTCCTGCAGAAAGATAGAGAAGAAAGGTCTTGGCTGACACCTGTGTGGTTCAAAGTTTCTCTGGGATTTACTGAGCCTCAGCAGGTTTCAAGTTTCCATCAGATGAGATGAGTTTTACCAGGTTTCAGTGCAACCAAAATTGCAACCCATCCAGTCAGTCCCTCCTGTGATTGAGACCCTGTCTGTGTATTTTAAAATATATATGTTTTGTTAAATCTCTATATATTTTAGGCATTTTCTAAGGAAGTAGATGAAAAATCATCCTTGAAGTCATCTGTCATAAGCACTGGCAACCAGCTTCTTCATGTGAAACAAATGGATGCTGCAGTGCTTAGATCATCTTTGGCACAGTTTGAGCAAAAATGGGCAGAATTGATCACTCAGTTCCCAACCATCCAAGAAAAACTTCACCAGGTAAGGAGGGAATCTCATGTCGTTTCTTCATTTGAGCCAAGCTACGTGCAGAATTATTTTAAAATGTTACGGATGGGATTCAGTCAAGCACTACGTAATGCAGGGAAAGCACTTTTTTCTTTAGGGCTCAATTACCCATCTGACTCACTTTTGGAACATCCTCAGTATTAGCTTAATTATTACTGTATTTCTGCCTAACTCTGCCTGTGCCCATCAATGTCATATTTTATATAAAAGTTAGTTTCAACAGGCAACAATAGTCCTATTCCAGACTTCAGAGATGTCCAAATTTCTTGTTTCAAGTTCGAATCATATCCTAAATTTGAGTATCAGGGTTTACTTGCAAGTTCATACTTAGATAATTACATTATGTGAGGCCTTTTTGGGATAAAGATGTCCTCCTCCATCATGGTCTGATTTAATATTGCTAGCAAGCTAAGTACAGAAGAATCATTATATATTTGATTTCCAGCTTCAGATGGAAAAGCTTCCGTCTCGTGAGGCCATCACAGAAATAATGGCATGGCTGAGCCATGTGGAACAACAAAAAGAAGATGATGAGGCCATTGTAAATTTGCAAAGTAACGCATCCCAAGTCAAAAACCTTCTTCAGAAATATAAGGTAAATATGCAAGCAGAAGAATAAGTCGTCTACAGGGTGCTCAGGTACCACAGTAATAGATGCAGTATAAGAGCCAGAATAGAATTGAATAGAATATCGATTTATTTCTAGGTTCCTTAGGGCAGCTGAGTACTTAGTAGTTCAGCTCGGAACATTGGTGTACTCTTGAAGATTAATCCTGTGCTTCTTAGCCCTTTGAACTTTTGGGGTCAGCTTCTTGGTTCTGGTTATAACAGTTAAAAGTTCCTAGCATTCATATCCTAGGACCCCTGTATGACACAGAATTGACCACTGCCTTGTCTTGTAGCTATCTCCAGAATTTTCCAAGGGGATAAACTTAAAAGATATTCCTAGCTTCCTTCCTTCCTGAGGGAGAAATGCATTCTCATGGGCTCCAAGATATTTGTATCTTTACTACCATATCATCCAGTGGCCCCAGTCGGGATGGTATTGTTTGGTGAAAGAACTGTGTCTTCATGATAAACAACTACAATTTAAGAGAGGGAGAATCTGCTTTCTTTTGCCCAAATCTTCCTCCTTTCAAAGAAAATAAATGGCATTTCCTAGCTGTAGTTAGTATTTACTATTGGGCAGAATCGTCTTCTCTGAAAAGATCCATCTGTGTGGGTAAGGACAAAGAAGCAGGGACCTATCTTAGCCTATGCTGTGCATCTGTTAGCTGCGGACTAAGGCCACCTTTGATTTAGACAATGGAGAATGGATCTCTCAGGAAATGCACTGTACTATGGCTCAGAATAAGAAGTTTTCTCTGAATACCACAGAATTACACTATAAATCAGCAGTTTATGGAGTTTATGAAATTAAAATTGCCATCGTAACTGTTTTTCAGGAGTACATGATGGAGATGAACTTTAAACAGTGGACGGTTGATTTTGTTAACCAGTCGCTGTTGCAGATCAGCACTTGCGATGTAGAAAGCAAGCGCTATGAAAGGACAGAATTTGCAGAGCATCTTGGTGAGATGAACTTGCAGTGGCACCGGCTGCAAGGGTCTCTGAACAGAAAGGTTTGCTCTTATTTCATGGGTTTATATCTTTTTTTTTTCTTCCAATGTTAATTACACATATTATAATCTTTTGTGCTTCTATACTACATTTCCCCAAGGATCTCAAAGCACTTTCACATGTGCCGAGTCACATAACACTCCTGGAAGGTACAGTAGGTGGGTGTTTTCACACCCTTGTAAGATGGGGTATAATTAGTAAATTCAGAAAGGGAGAATTTAGATGAATATTGGGGGAGAGGAATCATAATGGTAAGATCTGTTGAGCTGAAGGAAAGCCATATGGACCCCACAGCTTGAGACATTTAAAATTGAAAATAGTAGGCAGTATATGGTAAGAAACAGTCCTGCGCCAGCAGGTAGATGACCAAGACCCACTCAGAAGCCACAGGGACAATGATACTGTTTAAAAAGAGGCCAGTCCTTCTGCACGTTATGGAACATGATTGAAAAGGGGGAGGATGCTAAAATATCCTCCCCCTGCCCTGCCTATTTCTATTTAACATAATGATGTTTGGACCACTAAAAGGGCTGATTGGCATATCGCAAGCCACACTCATTCGTTATGAAGAACTGTGGTCTAGTGGATGAGGCACAGGCCTGGGAATCAGGAGCCCTGGGTTCTGTTCCCAGCTGTGTGATCAGGGGCAGGTCACTTAACTTCTCTTTGCCCCCTCTGGAAAATGGGAATGATGGAATATGTTGTCCTTATAGAAGCACTTTAAGATCAATGGATGAAAACCACTCTCAAGGTGCATATCGCTATTATTTATTTTATTACGTATTTACTATATGTTATAGAAAATACATATAAATAAATGCATCAGAGTTATTTCACCCTGGTGAAACTAGAAATAATCTGTGGAACAGGCTCAGAGTTGCGAGGCAGTGTGGCCTAGCGAATAGAACACTGGACCTGGGTTGTGTTCCCAGCTCTACCACCAGACCTGCTGGGTGACCTTGGGCACATCACTTCCCCTCCCTGTGACTCAGTTTCCCCCTCAGTAAAATGGGGATAATGATACTGACCTCCTTTGTACTGCACTTTGAGATCTACTGATGAAAAACTCTATAGAAGAGCTAGGTGATACTGTTCTGTTAGAGACTATGTCAGCATACCCAAGTATGGAGAAATTATGATGTGAGGTATAGAAACAAATGGGGAAAGAGCTATTTACTGTGAATGGGCAGTTAGAGAAATTCCTGAATCCTACCCCTTCAGGCATGACATTGTTAGAATAGACACTGTCAACTGTTAGTATGCTGTGTATATCTGTATACTGTCTTCAGCTATGGTATGACAGGAGAGACTGCCCTGCTTGAGTCCTACAAGGGACTCCAATCAAAACAGAGAGTTTAAATCGGCGAAACACTTTCAATCTGATATAATTTAATTAAAATTAAATATTTTAATCCTTTAATTTGCAGATACAAGATTTGGAACATATTTTGGAAATCGTCACTGAAAATGAAAACAAAGCACAAACTCTGAGCAGCTGGCTGGAAGCACAAGGCGAGAGGCTGAAATCTTTGGAAAAGCCAGCGAGTCTAATCTCAGTACAGAACACGCTGGAAGACTGTAAGGTAAAAAGTGTTCTTTATGTTGCAAGCATTACACTTAAGACTTTGCTGGGTCCATGCTACAAAAGTCACATAATTTTTATTTTAAATTGGAGGAACCTACCATATTCCTAAAAGCTTAGTACAGGGTATCACTTTAATGAAAACATGAAATGCAAAGTTTAAGAAAGAGATCGGGGCCAGATCCTCAGCTGTTGTAAATTGACATGCACCGAATTACAGCGCCTGAAGATCTGGCACAACACAGATGTGAAATTCCACAGTTGTTTTTTGAACTCTTTTGTCCTTGGAATTTCCTGCAACATTACAACAATTCTTAATATTTTCACTACCTTATTTTAGATTTCTTCTAATGGAAAATATTTCGTTTTCATTCGGTTCAACACATTGATGGAAAGACTCATCTATTTGATTAGTGTGAAACATTCTTCGGTGATACTTTGGTTAGGAAGAATAGTAACTCTGTGGTAACTTGGTATAATTCTGTATTAGCATAATATTTCTTCTTTGTTTCTCAAATGGGCCATTTTATCTTTCCCACTTAGTCCTGTTTGCCATCTTTGACCTGTTGATACATGAAGATGTCATTTTGTTATTGATGCTGTGATACTAGCCTCACCACATCATGACCTGGCACAAATGCAGTCATGCTGTTCCAGCCCTAGGGATATTTTAGGGATTTTTCAGTAGGATATCTCCATCAAAATCAGGACAAGTGGCAGTCATCTGCCAGCTGGTCCCCAATTACTCTGGGAATATTCAGCATCTATTCAGTTCAATGTTACCCCTCTATTTCCTCCCATGAAATGTTTGTTATTTTATTACCATGGTTACTTGTATCTCTCCCAAATTATGCTGCTATTATTCCCTGCAGTGCTATATTAATGCAGACTTACTCATCTATCTGCATTTTCTCTGAAGTGTATTGGGGTGAGAATGTACCAGCTAGTTAATAAGATACGTTTGGTATCTCTAAAGTACCATATCTGATCACAGCAAGATAAGATTCTATGCTTCAGGCTGGTAAAATACTTAATTAAAATTCATTTACTTCATTAAAAACTAAATGAATTTTAGATAAATTCAAAAAACTATTGGACAGTGAATCATTAACAGAAAGCATGTGCTGACTTAAAGGGCAACATTTTAGTTAAAGGAATCGGCCCGTTTGGATGTCTGAAACATTCACATGTACTGCTGCGGGGCTTGAGCTGAGCTTTCCTGAATACATAAGGACCACATTGTGATCCCCTTAATCGCGTTGGGGAGCAGTTCTTCTTACAAGTAGTCCCACTGACTTCAGTGGGACTGCTTCCAAACTCCAGGCCAGATCATTGGTCTAGCCAAGCTATGCTGAAAGGTGAAGGGAAAGGTGGCTTAAAGCTTAAAGCTGCCTATGCATTCCTCAATGCTAGAGTCTGCCAGGGCTCATGTCAGGCTCGGTGTAAGTTAAAGCAGCCTCAGGACTGCTCTAACCCATGTCAGCTGAAAATGACTTCCTAGTAACTGTTAGGAAGCCAGAGATCCCCAATGTGCAAGGTGCTCCTATCTTTGGCGCATGTGTATGCTGGAGGGGGTAGGAGGGCTGGAATCTGACATAGGGAATCTTCTGCTGCCCTGCTTGAAAAACTTTCTAGCCCCTTTGCCTGGCGTGGTGCAAGGGAGCCCAAGTGCTGGCGGAGGATCTGGCTCTCAGTTCCAAATCAGCATGTTGCATTCCATGTCACGGCCAAATGCAGTTCATTTTGTTCTGCCTGACAATTACAGTTGTTCCGGTTTCCTGAGGCAAATTCATGTCTGCCAGAACTCAATTGCTGTAAGTTTCCCATGGTTAGAAAAACGACATGGGATTGATTTTAAAGAAGAATCATTTGTCTTTACTTTTGTATTGTCACACAGATAAAGATTTTTATCTTTCTTCCCTTTAGGAACTAGAAAATCAGCTTGCAATTAAATCCAAAGCTCTTGATCAGCTAAAGCAGAATTATATGGCTTTGGAAGATGGTGCAAAACAAACCTCAGAAGATATGGCTGTCAGAATGGATAAGCTGCATGAAATGAGGAACAGTGTCGTCAGTCAGGTAGAGAACTTTGCGTTTACGCTTCTCCCCAGGATTTAACCTTAGCAACTGTTCCTAACCCTCTTTGGGAATTTCCAGTGTTACTGAGCTGTTCAATGGCAGAGCCATAGTTAAGGCTGCAATAGATGTCCCGTTCTTCTTCAAGTGCTTGCTCATGGCAATTCCATTCTAGGTGTGCACAGTCGTCGGAGATTTTTGCCTTAGCGGAATCGGTAGGGTCGGCTGTGGCGCCCTCTTGAGTGCCGCGCCCATGCGCTGGTATATAGGCACCGCCCACCCTATGCCCTCTGAGTTCCTTCTTACCGCCCATGTCGGTTGGTCGGAGCGCCTTGTCTTGCAATCGCAAGATCATTAGCAGTTCTTCAACAACCCATTGTCTGTCTTTTTTGTATATAGTTAGGTACTTATTTAGCCTTTAAATTAAGTGTTGGGTTAGTTGGTAGTTAGAGTCCCGGCTGGGACTTCGCCCCGGAGCGTGGCTTGCCCCGCTCTCCTGGCTTCAAACCATGCTTGTCATGCAACAGGCCAATGCCTATTAGTGACCCCCACGACAGTTGTCTGAAGTGGATGGGGGAGTCCCATAGAAAGGACAAGTCCAGAATCTGTAAGCACTTTCGCCCTAGAACCCGGAAGGAGCGGGATATCCGCTTGAAGACCCTCCTCATGGAGGCTGTGCTTCGTCCTGCGTCGGAGCCCACCCACTCGGATCCCACACCGAGCTCCTCAGCATCCGTGCGGAGCGCACTGCTGGCACCAGGCGCCACCAGCACCATTCCCCCTCACCAGTGCCGAAGAAACGACAAAAGAAGAAGAGCCCCCTGGCACTGGAAGGGAAAGGAGCCTCGGGCAAAGGAACAATGTCAGGCCATGTGCCTGCCCCGGGGCTTCACGGGAGTACCACTGAGGTCAGACCCCCCTGCCCGGCCAGGGATCCGCCTCCAGCTCCCGGGAGCGGCAGGGGACCCCGGCTTCTAGGGGCCTCATTGCCCGAAGCAGCCCAGGCGTCTAAAGAACAAGCAGGCCAACCGGCACCACAGACACTGTGCCAGGCGCCAGCCTCGGCTAAGGCCCCAATGCCTAAGGGCAAGTCGGTAATGGGACCGCCCCATAGAACAGTGGAGCACCCTCGTTCCCCGAACTGCAGGTGTAGATCCCCGTCTCTGGGCTCCGGTCAGAAGGCCCAAGTCCCTGACGCCGTGGTCTTCCCTACAAGACATGGGACACCGGAGTCAAGACACCAGTCCCTGTACCACCAGTACCGGCAAGTTTCCTGTCAAAGATCGCCATGGCGCAAGTCACCATCGTCAAGACGGTCTCCCGGACATCAGTCCCCCTTGGGGCAGGATCGCTCCCGGTCACGGCACCGGTCTCCATACCCCCGGTTCTGCTCATGAGGCAGGCACCGATCCTTGCCCTCGTCTCACCAGTCGCCGACTAGGGTCAGTTGGCAGACTCAGGCCTCGATGGCTCTGCCCTGGTCGCCGGAGGAGCAATGGTCAGATTTGGACTGGGAGTTCAGTCCCTCGCCAAGGAGGGGTGATTCGCTGGCAACCTGCGAAGCTGGCACGGCGCCTGCAGCGACGGCATGGCAGCAGGGACAGTGGTCTGCTCAATGGCCATACTGGAACCCGTGGGGCATGCCCGTAATGCCGATTCCATATTCCCACCAGTCCTCCCTTGCTGCCCCCAGCACCGCCAGAATCTGAAAACAGTACCGAATCTGATGTGGGGGCAGCGCATCGGACTCTAGCACCTAAGGAGCCGTCCCTGGAGAAGGAAGGGGAACCTGCCCCTCCCCCGATGGTGCACTCGTCGTCCTCTCCGGACGAAGCAGTGACGCGTCCCTCCCAAACAGGCAGCCTCCCCCCTTTCCCTCCCCGATGACTTCAAGGAGCACCAGCGTGGCTACCAACTTGAACTTAAAAATTGAGGAGGTCGCGGAGGAGTCCGACGACCTATTTAACATTATATCCTCCTCCACCTTGGCCTGGGTTGTGATTCCCGTCCACCCAGGGGTCCTTAAGATTGCCAAATCGCTCTTGACTTGAAGGATGCATATTTCCACATTTCCATTTTCCCGGGACACAGGCGCTTCGTTCGTTTTATGCTGGGCCAGCACCATTTCCAATTCACGGCATTGCCATTCGGTCTCTCATCAGCCCCGAGAGTGTTCACGAAGTGCTTAGCACCAGTGGCCGTTTATCTGAGGCGCCGGTGTGTTCAAATTTGCCCGTACCTCAACAACTGGCTAATAAAGGGTCAGTCCTGGGATCAGGTGCAGCAGCATCTCGATCTAGTTTGTTCTGCCTGTCGCAACCTGGGGCTGTTAATAAACAAGAAAAAGTCGACCTTAAGTCCAGTGCATAGAGTTCATTGGAGCAGGCCTTGAGTCTACTCAGGCCAGAAGCTTCCTCCCCGAGGCTCGGTTCCAAGCCATGGCGGACCTCATCTCGTGCATGCAAGCCCGTCCTCTCGCCATTACTCACACGTGCCTGCGTTTGTTGGGCCACATGGCGGCCTGTACTTACATGGTCCGACATGCGCGGCTCCGTCTCAGGCCCTTGCAGGCGTGGCTGCCGTTGGTCTACGTCCCCAACAGACACAATATGGACCATGTGGTCTGGATCCCGGACCACGTACTGTCGTCACTCATCTGGTGGCAGAATCCTGCATCGGTGTTGGAGGGGGTTCTCTTCATGGCTCCGTCCCTGTTGGTGACCCTCGTCTCCGATGCCTCAGACTGGGGTGGGAAGCCCACCTGGACAATCTCAGCATGCAAGATCGTTGGTTGAGTCATGATCACTCCCTACACGTCGATGTCAGGGAGCTCAGAGTGGTTTGCCTGGCCTGCCAAGCCTTCCTACTTCACCTAAAAAACAGAGTGGTCCAGGTCCTGACAGACACTACAGCGGCTATGTTCTATATCAACAAGCAAGGCGTGAAGCCAGATCATCTGCCCTTTGCCAAGAAGCTGTCAGGCTCTGAGACTTCTGTGTACAAAACAGTATCCATCTCGTAGCCACACATCTCTCCGGGCCAGGAACGCTCTGGCAGATCGCCTCAGCAGGACCTTCTCGTCTTGCCACCAGTGGTCCCTCCATCCGAAAGTGGTCAGCATCATCTTCCAGAGGTGGGGGATTCCCCAGGTGGACCTGTTCGCATCCAGGCAGAACAGGAAATGCTATGTTTCTGCCCGATTTGGGGGATTGACAGAGGCTCCTTGTTGGACGCTTTCCTACTCCCGTGGTGAGGGGCTCTGTTGAACGCCTTCCCTCCAGTGCCGTTAATTCACAGGGTCCACATGAAGATCAAACAGGACAGGGCAAAGGTGATCCTCATAGCGCCGTCTTGGCCACATCAGCACTGGTTCGTCACGCTGCTGAATCTCTCAGTGGCTGCTCTGTTATGGCTACTGCTCAGGCCGGACCTGCTGTCCCAAAACCATGGCAGTCTTCTGCATCTGAACCTGCCAGCGCTGCATGGTTAAATGCGGAGAAGCAGGAGTGCTCAGCCGGTGTCCAACAGGTCCTGTTGGGCAGCAGACAGCTCTCCACCAGAGCGACCTACCTGCCAAATGGAAACGATTTGCTTGTTGGACCTCGGATAAAGGCATTTGGCCCGAGCGGGCCTCGCTGCAATCAATCCCGGACTACCTTCTGCATCTCAAACTCCAAGGCCTGTCCCTTTCATCTCTCAAGACCAACTTGGCCGCTATATTGGCCTTCCATCCGCCGCTCGAGGGTAGGCTGGTTTTCAGCCAGGACATGACTGCCCAGTTCCTTAAGGGCCTCGAGTGCTTCTACCCTCACATCAGGAAACCTGTCCCTCTGTGAGACCTGAATCTGGTGCTGTTGTAACTTACGGGACCCCGCTTCGAGCCTCTGGCTTCCTGCTCTTGTCCTGTTCTGGAAGGTCACATTCTTGGTTGCAATAAACATCTGCCCGCCGGGTCTCTGAGATTAGGGCACTTACCTTGGATCTGCCCTATATGGTTTTTTACAAAGACAAGGTCCAGCTGCTGCCTCACCTGGCTTTCCTGCCCAAGGTGGTCTCACAGTTTCATACAGGCCAGGACATTTACTTACCTGTCTTTTTTCCAAAACTGCGTAAGTCGGAGGAGGAGCATAGGCTGCATTCCCTAGATGTCAGGAGGGCGCTAGCCTTCTACATTGAAAGGACCAAGCCATTCCGCAAGTCAACGCAATTGTTCGTCACAATGACTGACAAGATGAAAGGTCATCCAGTGTCTGCTCAAAGAATTTCTTCTTGGATCACTGCCTGCATTCGCTGCTGCTACGGTCAGGCACAGGTGCCACCTCCGGCAATTGTCACCGTCCACTCAACCAGGGTGAAAGCCTCTTCAGCAGCTTTCCTAGCCCAAGCGCCTATCCAGGACATCTGTAGAGAGGCCACCTGGTCGTCCGTCCACACGTTCACATCCCATTATGCACTTACCCAGCTGGCCTGGAACGGTGCTGGCTTCAGTAGAGCAGTGCTGCAAGCCGCTAAACTGTGAACTCCAAGCCCAGCTTCATTGATACTGCTTGTGAGTCACCTAGAATGGAATTGAGCAAGCACTTGAAGAAAAAACGGTTATCTACCTTTTGTAACTGTTTTTCGAGATGTGTTGCTCATGTCCATTCCGTTACCTGTCCTCCTACCCCTCTATCGGAGTTGCCGGCAAGAAGGAACCGAGAGGGCATAGGGCTGGTGGCACCCGATATCCTGACACATGAGCGCAGCACTCAAGGGGGCGCCACAGCTGTCCCTATAGATGCCGCTAAGGCAAAAATCTCAGACAACTGTGCATGTGGGTGCGCACACACCTAAAACGGAATGGACATGAGCAACACATCTCAAAGAACAACAGTTATGAAAGGTAGGTAAATGTTTTTTCTACTTCTTTTTGCTCCATGTAACTTTGGCAAGAAATCTCCTTTTGGCCAAAAAACTACCATGCTTATTCTCATGCCAAAGGAGAACCTGTATGCCAAGTGTGGAAAAAAGATCAATCTGCTTTGGAGTCAAATAAGAAAAAATTTACCCCCTTTCGCAATTTTTTTTAAAAGTATCGACATTTTTCTGGTAGATTAAAGGATTTGTTTGAAAACCTCAAACTTTCTAAGTGGATCCACTTGGGCCCTTACTATTCCTATTTGTTCCTTCTCTCTGGTAGAGTCCTGATAGAGACTCTCCATTCTCAGCTAAACCTTTTTCATCTTCCCAGCACTGGGTTCTCCCTCCTCCACTCCCACTGCTTTTTTTAATTCTAAGCAAATCCCTTATAGTTCCCAGTTGCTCCACTCATGCTCCTATGGATTCCCTTTCCCTCCTCAATGGCTCTCCATAACTTAGGCCAATTAACCCCAGCAATGCCAATGATATGTGTATGATAAATACAGCTTTATGTTTACAATCCATCGTATAATATATAATACTATAAGTAATTCAGATAAAGTTAAGGTTGCCCAATGCTTTCCAGTAGGTAACTTTGCCAAATTTTAACCATTTTGACTGAAATCTTCCACATCGGGTGTCTGCTTCAGGCTGATTTTTTAAAATATTTTTAAGCTTCAGCAGAAATGGTTCAGCTGTTTCTCAGAATGAGATTAAAGAAAATACATTGTTTTGTTCATGTTAAAAACATTCTTCCAACTGTTTTGTTGAGAAGCCCTAGTACACCAATGTTTTGGAACAGGGATTTGAAATTCAGCAATGGGAGGTCGCCCCGGTGCCAGAGAAGTGCCTTTTTTTTTTTTTTTTTTTAATATATAAAAAATTATATTTTTTATTTTTTCTTTTTTTATGAATTTTATTCATTTCTTTTTTTTTTTTTTTTTGCAGGGCCAGTAAAAGCTCTAATTTGACCCAGTTATAAGAATTTGAAAAATCTCCATTCAAATGTGCTCAGTGGAGACTTTTTAGAGTTTAGCAGTGAAATTCTCTGACATTTCCATCTGTACTGAACATGCTCCTGCCAAGAGCTACAGGGGCTGAGCAGGACTTTCTGTGCAATTGCTACTCCCTGCTTCTGTGAACAACCTTCATTTTGACATTTCCTAACATTTAATTGCTTAACTTTGCAACCCTAATGTTCTTTTAATATGTTTTTTTGTATGTAACAGACAGTAGAACCTCAGAGTTATGAACACTTCAGGAATGGAGTTTGTTCATAACTCTGAAATGTTCATAACTCTGAACCAAACGTTATGGCTATTCTTTCAAAAGTTTACAACTGAACATTGATTTAGTACAGCTTTGAAACTTTACTGTGCAGAAGAAAAATGCTGCTTTCCCTTTATTTTTTTTTAGTAGTTTATGTCATTTAACACAGTACTGGACAGTATTTGCTTTTTTTGGGGTCTCTGCTGCTGCTTGATTGCGTACTTCCAGTTCCAAATGAGGTGTGTGGTTGACTGGTCAGTTCATAACTCTGGTGTTCGTAACTCTGAGGTTCTACTTTATATACTGCTTTTTTTCTTCTAGCAGGCTGGCCTGATTAGGGGCTAGATTGTGACTTCATGGTCCTCAGCAAGGGGTGGTGCACTAATTGCACCACTGCTGGGACAGTGTCAGGTAGGACTCTGACTCCAACACTGCTCAGAGGCACAATTCCTCCCATGCTTCCCCTTTGGTGGCAATAATTTGCTGCTGGCTGGTACCAACGGTAAATTATCCCTACCTCTGCACACTGGCTCAGGTACACGTCTCTCTGTCTGGGCTTGCTGTCCAAGTACACTAGCCAATGGGTAATGGGATTGAGCCAAAGTCTGCCACCTCAGTCATTGCACAGCTCATGTATTTAGTGAGTCCTGAAGTTCCTCCAGCAGTTGTTGAATGTGAACACAAGGCTGTGGTTCTGTTTCATCTGCATTGTTACAGCACAATGGCATACAAGAGAATGTAGCTCTCTAGTACACAATGGTATTTTATTAGAAGCTTGAACTACCCCCAAATAATTTCTGTTAAATTTTGACTAAACTGGAACTAAATTTCCATCTCAAATTGTCTATTTCCTAAGGAGATTAAGGCCTTCAGGAGTCACAGTACTTTATCTGTTAGCGGGTAGCCTGATATTGGCAGCAAAGAATAACAGCCGTGCGTTGTTTCTGCACATTTTCACTTAGTCTGGGGTTCTGGAGTGGTGGCTGCCAAATCAGCATTGCCTTGGTATCCAATTAAATTTGTATTTCAAGCTTATCCTGATACTTCATTTGTGAAATTGTTGTGGATTGTCATCCAGCATGCGTTGAGCTGAAGTACTGAAGTCAGTTTTTATTTCAAAATTGCCTATGAAATAGCTTCATTAATACATTTTGTAGGTAAACGTTAAGAAGGAGCAATCCTTTTTCTCAGCAATGATTGTTTGTTTACAGGTAGCACAGTTAAAAACCTCAATGCAGTCAGTATTACAGCAATGGATAATTTATGACGAAGCCTATGAAGAAGTTAACCTGATGATAATAAGCTCTCTGTATTGCCTAGAACAATGCAAACCTTCTGTAATATCGCTGGAATCTTTGAAAGGCCAGGTGAAGACTCTACAGGTAATTCTACCAAAGACAAAGTAAACGTATTAGTGCAAACATGGGAAAAGGTTAATTAAAAAACCAGTAAGTTTCCCTTCAGGAAACTGCTTCTTTAGAGCCTCACGATGGACCTAACCCAAAGCCCCGTGGGAGTCAGTGGCATTCTTTCTACCTGCAGAGATAATGGGCCCATGGGCTGCTCTACTAGCAGAGTTGCACCAATTTAACCAAAGGTCTGAATGTAAACCAGTTTAGTTAAACCAGTGCCAAAAGCGGTGTAGATGCTCTTATTTCAGTTTAAATCAGGCTTATTTGGATTTAGCTTAAGTTAGGAACTGGTGTAAACTAAACTGAAATAAGGCACTTTCAGGTATCTACCAGATTAATTAAACAAATGCAAGATTGTGTGAAGACAAGGCCTAATTCTTCATTGCCCTATACCTCATGTTGTTGTTCACACCAGTGCAGACCAAGTGCAAAGTATGACCAAACCAGAATGGTAGTGTTTTGTGCTTGCTTTGTGCTCTCTTTACAATGAATAAACAAGGTGCAGGGTAACAGGGAAGCAAGCCTCAAGTATTCAGAGGATTCTAGTTATTGATATTTAACCTTTCTTTATTATTTCCGATCTAAAATAAGAATTTCAAAGTACAACTGCTCTCTGGTTAGACTGGGAACAAGTAACACCAAAGGAAAAATTAATTGCAATTTAGAATGAATAGTTTGAACTAAATAAGTGAAACTTCTTAAAAAAGTCAATTGATATTTTTCTATTGATATTTAATACAGAATTTCAAACCAGTTATTTTTCCATATTTGCCAGTCAAAGGCCTAATTCCTCAACACTTTCTTGCTTTGAGTAGCACTTATTCACAAGAGGAGTCCCACTAGACCAATACCTGTGTAAAGAGATGCTTCTGAAATTATGTATTACAGGATTGGGCCACAATTTAGTCTTCAGTTCTTTAATTTGTAGCAGCAAGTATATTATTGTTACATTTTTAATTTCTTTCACAAAACTTGTCTTTGCTATAAATGTTGCTACAGTATCACTACTATACATCTGCTAGTCTCTAAAGAAAACTACATTTTAGCTCAATGAATTGTGGCTCATTCGTCTCCACATCTAATTGTTGTGACTCATTTTTCACAGTCTCTTCAAGACAAAACAGAGAAGAGTGAAGAAAGCTGGGCCAAGCTCCAGGCTTCTGCTGCTAACCTCAAGAAATACTGTTGTTCCTCATTTGCAGAGATTATTGAACATAAATGCAAGGAGGCACATACAAGGTACGCCTAAAAAAAGACACAAAATAGATGTTGGTAATAAAAGCCCCCGATTCTGCAAGGTACTGAGCATGCGCGTAGCTTGAGGCATGTGGATGTTTCTATTGACTTCATTGTGAATACTCGCACGCTTAAAGATAGGCATGTGCTTAAATATCTTGGTGAACTAGGGCCAGTCGACTTTAACATATTGTTTTATTGTGGGTCTGGGTGGTAGACCAAAAAACAAACAAACAAACAGAAAAAGCAGCAACATAGTAAACATGCAATGCAGTATGGACATTACACATGGCAAGACTGATCTCAGATGCCCTGGTGTAAATCCAGAGAAATTCCACTGAGAATCTTCAAAAGAGATCAGAGTCTGGTCCGTGCATGTCCTCAAGTGTAAGGGCAAAACCCAAATCAATAACCTGTGTTATGTTCTTGTATATTGCAGATGGACTCTGGCAAATGAAGAAGTCACTGATGAGCTACAGAGAGCACAAGCTTTGTTATTGCTTTGGGAGTCGTATGATGGGTTATACACCGAGGCAGCATTGAGGTTAGAACAACACGAAGATCAGTGTCATCTGCTCTTGGGAGCTCACTTACCTGAAGACAACATGGTGGAAGTCCTGAAGCAGAAGATACAGAATGTGAAGGTACATAAAAGTGCTCTCGCTGCCTTATGCAAGGCTGGACTTATTTAAAAATCCTGACAATGGAAATCAGGGCCTGACTTCTCTTTTGTAATCCGTCCTTTTTCATTTTCTTTAACTACATTGGGCCAGGTCCTCAGGTCAGGTCAGGCCAAGCACAGGATGCAAAGAAGGGAAGGGGGTGACCTGACTTCATCTCTTGCACTCTCCAATTCTGTGGGCAGCCCGTGACCAGTTTAGCCACAGCATAAGTTAGAGCAGCAGCAAGGCTTCTCTAAACTATATTGTCTGCAGTGGTCCCCTGGGGAGCACCACCAGGGTGCAGTTTGCTCTGGACATGTCTCCTATGCCAGAGGTGGGGTGCCAGGAGCAACTGGCGTAGAGCCAGCTACTCTTGCTTAATCCCCTCCAGTGATTCCCAAATGTAAGAGGTATCCCTGGCTGTCAGTTTATGCCAGATTTCCATCCCCTAGCAGTGGCAATACTCTATGAAGGTAACATAGGGAACCTGAGAATCTGGCTATTTTGTAGCAATCATTGAACCAAACATGATTGACCTTTATTATATATTTTGACCTTTATAACAACTGAAGTGCTTACAGTCTGATCCATGCCAAAGACAGGGTCAATATGCCCAGAAGCATATTCTACCTTTCAGGGAAGTCTGTCCTTACTTTTATAATTAATCAGAAGAAACATTTCTTTACTCATTGCCCACTGAAATATAGTTTTCAGTGGAAAAAAAAGCCCAGGGATTTTCATGTTTAGTATTAAGTGAACGTGGCAGAGAATTACACATTCCAGGATGATATTCTGTAAATCTCTCTCCAGACAAAAGGAACTACAAACAGTAGGTTGTAGAAGTACCAGCCACTCCCTTTGTTGTTCATACCATTTAGAACTGAAATTTATAGTATTGTTGCTGGAGGGGGGGGAAAAGCTCTCAATCAGTCAAAATGGTTCCAAAGTGCTGGCAGAGGTGTTCAGCATAGCGGTTAGCAGGATATTATTATCACTGTATAAAGCCATTCTAGAGAGGATGGATATTCTCTCCAATTTATCTCTCTAATCTTCCTCATAACATTAGTATCCGAGTGCCTGAAATTATTACTGGGCAATGTTATCCCACTGAACCTTGAATCCAGATAGTAAGCCTGGGAATATTTAAAGGAGCTGAAGAGAGCTCACAGGGAGTTGGATGCCTAACTCCCTTCAGCACCTGTAAAAAATCAGCCTAAATTTCTGGGTAACTGGAAGGCCGACCTTCAGTAACATCTATGGTTTTGTCTCTCCCATCACTGTTAATAGACTTATCATCAGATTCCGCCCTGGAGTAAGTGCTTGTCGCTCCCATTAAAGTCAATGAAAGATACTCTCTTAGTCTATGGCTGAATTTGGCTTCCAATGCAGATCAACAGAAGGAGCTTAGTTATAGCAATAAAAGAGACACAGGAACACAGATCTGATTTATTTTTTTGATCTTTCACTTTAGATACTGCAACAAGGCCTTCAAACCATAAAGGGAAGCTTTCTCCAGGTTTCTGAGTTGACAGACCAGATAGCACAACAGGTTAATGCAGCTACACAAGCAGTTCTGTCAGAGAAGTTGCATCCTCTCAAAAGGATAGCTTATTTGGAAAAGACGTTGCAGATGAAATCGGATGAATTTGAGGTACTTCCTTATATCGTAAATTTGCTCTCAATACAGTTTTATTCTTCAACAAAATCATGTAGTTCCTGAACTGAAGTTCGGTTTGAATTAGAACTCGGTGAAATCTGAATGATAGCATCAGCTGAGTTATGAAAGAGAAATAAAGTCCTGGGAAAACAGGTGGGTTACACTTTCATCGTGTGCCTGCTATGCTGTGTTCACTCAGTTTCAATTGTTTTCCCCTTCCGCACACACCCTGCTCTGTCACACACTTGTACGCAGGCCTGTTAATTTGTAATATGGATGGATCTTAATGTCTCCATGCATCATCCCAGTCCAATGCTTGGAAACTCAGGTTGTTTCCTGGAGATGATGTCTCTGATTCTTAATATCATGTGTAAGCTTTACCTGTAGTGTAATATAGTTTTATTTCATTTCTAGTTGTGTAGTCGTTTTCTCTTGTGTAATTTTGTGGTCTTACCACAAGTGATTTCCTTTGTCATTCTTGTCATTCATTCCTTACACAAGTGTAATCTGAGAGCTCTTAGGCAGAGGGTGACACCAGACCCCTTCCTGGCACAGTTCCCTCAACCCTGGAAATGGGGAGGGAAGAGAAAAGTCCCCCAGTCATCCTAACCTCCTCCCTCAAAAAAACTGTGGGATCCCAGACCCAGTCCTGTATTTCTTCCCCTCAGATGGAGCCAACTGGGAGCTACTAGAGCCCAAGTAATGCCCACAGCCCTATCTATAAGAGCAAATGGGACCAAACTCTCCATGTGGCTGATAAAGGAGCAGAACCATTTTCATGAATTTCCTGCTGTCTGAGTAGCTGTGCTGTGGCTCCATAATTTCATCCTAAATCACGAAGTCCTTGGTAGCAGGTCTCTGCACAGCATGTCTGCCCTTTTCTCCTAGATCCATGTGGATCTCCCACAATTCACAGGATTTGGAGGCTCAGCTCCTTGCCACATGTCTGTATGTTGGGTTAAATCCTACTTCTCCCCAATTGAAAAATTGGGAGGAAACTCTGTAAGTCGAAACTTGCAGAGTTTACCACCTTCTATAAGTCTGAAGCAGAGCTGATAAACAAGCCCAGGTTTCCCAAGTTTAAAAAAAAAAAAAAAAAAAAAGCCATTACAGGGCTTTAACCACAACACCATCTCTCCTCCCCAATGAGTTATTTCTTACCCTGACAGCGGACAGTGGTTCCTCTATATGTAATGAAGCGTTTTCTTCATTTTCATTTCACTTTCCTTGTTTTTTCGTAGTCAAAGAAACTTATTGTGCTGAGGAAAAACAGCCATTAATTTCTAGAACTATGAAGCCAATAACAAGAAATCAAGGCTAAATATTTACTCTAAAAATGCAAGGACATATTCGAACGATAAAATCTAGAGAGAGAATATAAATAAGCATGGTTTAAATATAGACATAAATATTAACTACAAATACACCAGTTACTCTAATCTAGCAGCTGTTTGTTTTCCTAAAGATGCTGTTTATTATTCTCTTGCTCATATTGAATAGATGTATTAAAGCTGATTATAATAAAAATAATCTCTCATCCTAGTTCAACCTTTTACAACTGATGGATTTCAATAATTGTCTGGGCACAGTGGAAGCTCGAATTAAGACACCTATAGAAGTTTTGGATAAGCTGTATCTACAGGGAAAAGAAGACGACTCAGAATTACTCATGGTACATCCAGCTCTTATGACTATAAGGATATAAATTATGCATATGTAAGAGAGTCTTTAGGATACTTATTCATGTAGCACCATAGGTACTTCCTGTAGCTTAGGGTTACCATATGTAAAAAATAAAAAAAGAGGACACTCCACGGGCCCTGGCCCCGCCCCTTTCCCACCCCGGCCCCGCCCCTTTCCCACCCCCGGCCCCGCCCCAACTCCGCCCTTTCCCCGCCCCTTCCCCAAAGTCCCCGCCCTAACTCCCCCTCCTCCCTCCCAGCCACGCGAAAAGGGCTGCCCAGCGCTACCGGCTTTACGGTTTGCCGGGCAGCCTCCAGACCCTGCGCCCCTGGCCGGCTCCAGACCCTGCGCCCTGGCTCCAGCTGCTCTGCTCCGGCGGCTGGGGTCCGGAGGCAAGGGGGCTGCCCGAAGCCGGTAGCGCTGGCTCGGGCAGCTTGGCTCTTAAACAGAGCCGAAGTCTGAGTCCGGGGAGGAGCAGAGCAGCTGGAGCCGGGGAGGAGAAGTGCCCGGCGGGCGGCTGGGATCCGGAGGCACGGGGGCTGCCCGAAGCCGGTAGCGCTGGCTCGGGCAGCTTGGCTCTTAAACAGAGCCGAAGTCTGAGTCAGGGGAGGAGCAGAGCAGCCGCGGGAGAGGAAGTGCCTGGCCGGTATTTTTCCCGGACATGTTCGGCTTTTTGGCAATTCCCCCCGGACGGGGGTTTGATTGCCGAAAAGCCGGACATGTCCGGGAAAAACCGGACGTATGGTAACCCTACTGTAGCTTAATTATCATAAACGTTACATGCACAAAAACAATATTAAAAGAACATTATTAGGGTGGCAAAGTCAAGCACTCAAAAGTTAGGAAATGCCAGAAATGCCTATGCATCTTGGATTTGGCCCCCACATGCATATCCATTATGATACAGTCTTGAATTTCCTGATCACATACTATTTTTTTTCCACAAGGTCCCTAACTCATTTAGTGCAGAACACTGTGGCAGAAGCAGGGATAGAATCCAGCTGTCTATTCAGCTGCCTTAACAATGAGACCCTCCTTTCTCTTCCTGCAGTCTCCTGCCTCATTTACTACACACCTCCAACTTCTGCAACAAAAAAGCAGAGGTCCTACAGACAACAATTTCCTTTACTAAATTAGCCTGATGGATACCCAGAGCAGGTCCATCCTGTGCAGGGAATGAGGTAGGAGTCGTCTTGAAAAAAATAGTAATTTAAGACTGTATCATAGAATATCAGGGTTGGAAGGGACCTCAGGAGGTCATCTAGTCCAACCTCCTGCTCAAAGCAGGACCAGTCCCCAACTAAATCATCCCAGCCAGGGCTTCGTCCAGCCTGACCTCAAAAGGAAGGAGATTCCACCACCTCCCTAGTAACCTATTCCAGTGCTTCACCACCCTCCTAGTGAAAAAGAAATGAATAAAGTAAAGTAGCAGCCTGGGTAATTTTAATTGCTAGCAGAAGATGGTTCTTCATCATTAAAAAAATTCTAAGGCAATCAGAAATGCAATGGAATACTTTATCTGAAGAGCGTTACATCAGAATAACGGAATCCCCAGAGCAACATGAAATATAATGAGTTACTTTTAAAAAGGAATCAAAACGTGGATTGCAGGCAGAATTGTAAAAGAGAAAAGGGAAACCTGCTGGATCTGGGGTTGGTGTAATTCCCCCTCCTCAAACTTCTGTATGAAGTTTAAGCCCTGCTACTTATGGATACTACAAAATACGCCATGCATAACCCTTTACTACTTCCATGAATGAGGATTCAGAAGGTGTGTCTGACTTTTTCCCCAAGAATAGTGCAAAGGAAACTGAAAGTGAAAAGCAACAGAGAGTCCTGTGGCACCTTTAAGACTAACAGATGTATTGGAGCATAAGCTTTCGTGGGTGAATACCCACTTCGTCGTCTGACAAAGTGGGTATTCACCCACGAAAGCTTATGCTCCAATACATCTGTTAGTCTTAAAGGTGCCACAGGACTCTCTGTATCAGAGGGGTAGCTGTGTTAGTCTGAATCTGTAAAAAGCAACAGAGGGTCCTGTGGCACCTTTAAGACTAACAGAAGTATCGGGAGCATAAGCTTTCGTGGGTAAGAACCTCACTTCTTCAGATGCAAGTAATATCTGCATCTGTTGCTTTTTACAGATCCAGACTAACACGGCTACCCCTCTGATACTTGAAAGTGAAAACTCTCTTGTTTTCAGTCCTCTCTACTGGAATAGTACATGGAGGGATGATATAGCCCAATATGAACTAACTATGCTTCTTAAAATTCACCTTTTTCATCCATGACCCTTTAAACCTGAACATAAGGCATTGTTTACATTGTGTTGTCAAACATCACAGAAAAGACTTATATTTTCTCGACATGGAAAAAAGGTGATATTTCTGTCAGTTATCTTGTTCCATTATTTGCAGAGCCACATGTTGGAGCTCACTGCAATGTCTCCTGACATCGAGAATCTGAATGAAGTGAGCTTTAGGCTACCACTCAGTGATTTCACTGTGAAGAAACTACAGAGCCTGAATCGACAGTGGGCTCAGAAGACAGCAACAGCCCTGGAGCATTGCAGGTCAAAAAAGCACAATAATTCCCCCAACTGTTTCAGTGTGCATGAGGACAATTAAAAGCAGATTAAAATATTTTCCACGAGCTGGTTCCCAGATTTCCAAGAGGCTTGTCAAAAATAATTCCTCCATTTTAAACTAACTTTAAAATATTCCACCGTTTTTTTCTTTGGTTGGTTGGTGGGCTTTTTTTTAATATTTTAAGTTGTTTGGAGCACAAAGGCACATGTGTTAGCATGTGTTTTGTGTAGAGACTAGCACAATGGGACCTCATCTTGATTAGGGCCCATGGTGCTACCAGTCTGCCCCCTTTGTTAGAGCATAAACAATCATAACTGGAAAATATACAATAGACTAGTTCCTGTATTATTTCTTTTAACAGTGAATTTGAGGGAATTCAATCGGATGAAAAGAAATTTCTTCAGAAATGTGAAAACTGGGTACAATTTCTAGAAAAGATGAAAGAGGGTTTAAAAGTGAATATTGGTGGCAGATTTGAAAAGCTTCAGGAACAACAGAGAATATATGAGGTAATAATGCTGCAAATTTAAACTGGGTTTTAAAAAAAATCTTGAAAACCATATCTTTGCAAAGAGATACTGTGGGTGGTATTATAGAACAGCAGCAGTCTGTGCAATATATAAATGGAATCCACTCAAAGTGTCAATAATACATTACACCTTGGGAACATTACATTGGGGCAAGGCTGAGAGGAGGCTTCTTGTCCCAGCTGAAATAAATCACAAAATCTGTATCTGCAAATACTAAATACCATGCGTTGCAAGTTAGACACACAGAGACAGGATGTCACCCAGACTTTTTTATAATTAGTAGTTGTGCATCTAATTCCACAAACATTATACTAAACATTTACTACTTTATGTAAAACTTGTACTCCTCAGGGTATGTGGGCCATATTCTGCTCCTTATTCACTAAATATGGAGCTGCTCAAGAATAGCTATTCCAGAATAATTCTGTGTGTAGTCAAGCCCATTGTAAAGTTTGTTTTTAAATGCCCATCAGTTACTGAACTAATATTGTTCTTATTTTTGCAATGTTTGCAGATGCTGCAAGCGGAGATTTCTGTAAATCAGCAGATTTTTAATTCTATCATATCAAAAGCATTACTTTTGCTGGAAACAGGAGAAGCAGAAAAAAGGTAAAAAAAAATAGATTTTTTCCCCTTAGTTCTTACCAGGGGCATGCACAAGCGGGGGACGGGCAAGCATGGGCACGCCCCCACCAATAGTTGGCCGGGGCACAGAACTCCTGCAGCCCCGCCACAGCCCCAGGAACAGAAGAGCTCTGTAACCCCGCCGCAGCCAAGTACTTGTGGATACATTAATTCAGATGGCTCCATGGTGCATAGATTTTCATTGAAATGGTGAGTGTATGGCCATTTATTTCAATGATTAAGGCTGCGGGTCTGTCACGGAAGTCACGGATTCCGTGACCTCCATGACTTTTGCAGCGGCCAATGCTGGCTCAGGGACTGGCAGAGCCGGGCAGCCCCTGGGCCAGCAGCAGCAGTTTGGGTGTGTGGGACAGGGCTCAGGGCTAGGGGCAGGGGTTTGGGGTGCGTGGCGGCGCTTACCTCAGGGTGGGGGGCTCCCCGGCTCCCACCGGCATGTCCCTGTAGCTCCTAGGCGGAGCGGCCAGGGGGCTCTGCCTGCGCCCGCAGGTGCCGTCCCCACAGCTCCCATTGGCTGCGGTTCCTGGCCAATGGGAGCTGTGGAGCTGGCACTTGTGGCGGGAGCAACGTATGGAGCCCCTGTGGCCTCCCCTCTTCCTAGAAGATGCAGAGACACGTGGAGCCAGGTAGGAAGCCTGCCAACCATCCCCCCCAGTGTCCTGGGCTGTGCGCTGCTGCCTGGCCTCCCCACCCAGCACCAGCGGGGGTCCTCGGCCACCACCGCCCCAGGACCACCCCCCCCCCCCCCCCCCACAGCCCCCCCCCCCCCCCCCCAAGCACCCGTGGCCCCCCCACCCAAGTTTTAGATAGGGGTATATAGTAAAAGTCATGGACAGGTAACGGGCCGTGAATTTTTCTTTACTGCCCGTGACCTGTCTATGATTTTTACTAAAAATCCTCATGACTTAAATGTAGCCTTACCTATGATGTATGTGCATGTGTTGATATGGTTTAATGTGTATAATATTAATATATGGAGATATACCTAGCTCATAGAACTGGAAGGGACCTCAAAAGGTCATTGAGTCCAGCCCCCTGCCTTCAGTAGCTGGACCAAGTACTGATTTTTGCCCCAGATCCCTGAGTGGCCCCCTCAAGGATTGAACTCACAACCCTGGGTTTAGCAGGCCAATGCTCAAACCACTGAGCTATCCTTCCCCCCATATGTGTGTGTTTAATGTGTCCCTCCAAAAGCAGTCAAATTTAAATTCCTGCACATATTCCTGGATCTTACACAAAGTAGTATCAGTGATTCAAGAGGTGACATGCTTCCCTCTGAGTCAGTACTGAACCACCCTCAACTGTCCCTTAAAAGAGACTTTTTAAACCCAAGTCAAAACCATGTGTGTTCATTAGAGCCTGTGGTACATCTTGCAGAAGTAGGGGTGTGACCACCGGTGTCCTGGCCAAGTTCCCCTTTGGGTAATAACTACATTCTGCCTACCAAAAAACTAAAAATCCCTTGTAGTTTCTCCTGGGATAAGATATCCTTCACTTCCTGCCCTAAGTGTTCTGCACTGTTAAAGAGTTGCTGTGTTTACAGCTGAGGTGGCTATACTGTGGTGGTAGGTAAAATGATTGATTTAGTTGGTGTTGATCCTGCTTTGAGCAGGGGTTGGACTAGATGACCTCCTGAAGTCCCTTCCAACCCTGATAGTCTGTGATTCTATGATGATTCTAAGATTGCCATATGTAAAGGACTCAATCCTCTTTTCCTCCATGAGTACTCATGCTGCAACAGGGTGAGAGATCACTTAAGAAGGGCACCTAGCAACAGAGCCTGCTGAGTCTCCATGTTCACAAGAGGACATGGTCTTCTGGCTAATTTTTGTAAACCCAACCTGAACCTAATTTGGGTAATGGAGAGATGAGTTGTTTATTGGCCAGAGTATGAACTCATGGAGCATCTCTAAGAATCACTAATACATACTATGGTTTATGTGAACCCCATCCTCCATCGTAGCAGTAACATTGCAAGTGATTTACCTTTCTCCTTCCCCTTTTTTCTCTAAGGCGTCATCTGAACTATTCAAAAAGTATCGTAGCTGAACCCATTTTTACTAGCATGGGCTGAAAACCCTTCAGCATGTTAATGTGGACCAGGCAAAAGCATATTATATCGTATGGTAGAAACTAAAAACTGGTTTGAAGGGGTTCAGCACTACACAGATTTCTTTGTAATGCAGACAGGCTCTAAGGCTCCACCTGCACTAGAGTATAATGGTGACAGGAGGCTGTTCTAGTGTTGCTCAAGTACAGCTCTATTTTGCAGTGCAGTTGCTGCCAGTATTGACTTCCATCCACTTCAAGAATGCATTTGGAACAACTTGCTTCTGGGTCTAGCTGTACCATATGCTGTTGTGCCATAGCAGGAGAAACTCTCGTGTTTGTTCTTGTATCATTTTATAGTTTTCTGTCACACAGAAGTTTTGATACACAGAGAAGGCTTGTGCTTATGGTGCTCCATTTTGTGTTTTAATGTGCTTTCAAGGTGAAGATGACATTCTGTATTAACACTCCAATCTCTGTCCTCTTCAGAACTGAGTTTATTTCCAAACTCACATTGCTGAAGGAGCAGTGGCAGAGTGTTATCCGGATGGTTCAGCAAAGGAAGAAAGATATTGATGGACTTGTGAAGCAGTGGCAGCACTTCAGGGTTTCTCAACAGAATCTCACGAATTTTCTTACTTGTACAAATAACTTCATAGCTGCTGTGAAGAGTCAGGATGGCTACAGCCTTTACCATCTTAGGAATCTAATTCATGATTTCAAGGTCATATTTTTATTTCTTATAAACAAATAGATGATGCGTGATTTTTCAGATTGAAATGACTTGTATCCAAAAAAATGAAAGGACTTCAAAGGCATTCACTTTTTGCACAAAACAAATTGCTGATTTCTTTTTTTAAAGGGACAGTTTCATTAAAACTTGTCTTGATTTACGCATTGTGGAAACCCACAATAAACTCCTAAATATGATCTGGAAGCAGATGCAGTTTTTAGTGAATCTGTCCTGATGAAAAGATTCAAAGAACCTCAACAAGTTCTCGCTAAAGCACATAGATTATGCCTGCCCATAATATTGCAGAAAGTCGGCCCTGTTTCCTTTTGCTTGTCTTCATTTGAGTGACCTCTGTGAGTAAATTTTCAAAATTCCCAATAGTTCGTGAGTATTTACTGTAATTTGGAGGTTTTATGTTAGTGGGAATGTTGAACTGAACATTAACAACTTAAGTTACCAGAGCTGTTTGTTTTTTAATTTAAATGTGACCCTAATCAGGCAAAAAGTAACTTTAGGTTGAATTATGAACCCAAACCAGAATCTTTTGCTTGGTTAATAGTGCAACACTGTCACGGATATCTGGATAGAGAAGCTCTTAAAGTTAATAGTTTAAAGTGCAATAGGAATCTGAGTTTAAAGTTGAACAATGTCTGATTTGAAGCCAGCTATATATTTGGTAGAGTACTGAATAATTTTTTGCTTTGGAGAGAAATATTCCATGACAGAGAATATTTTAAACAATAATGTATCTTATTAGATTAGCCAAACTATTCTGAATTCATTAGAACCTGATTCTGCCAACCTTCCTCATGTCCAGTAGTACCTTACTGTGGGAGAAGAGCCCATAATAGTAAGGGCGCTTGCTAGGGTAGACATGGCATTGTTCACTTTATTGCACAGAATTGTGGTTTACACTTGTCCTTTTTAAAAATAAGAGGTAAGAAAACTTCAGTGTAGACAAGGCCACAATAGTTAGTTATGGAATAACCATCAGATAGGGGAAGTTTCTTCTTAACTTCTGTCATTTAGTGTCTGGTTTATGACTTGAAGGATGAAAGCTTATATTCCTTACTAAAAATATATCTCATGTAGTATAACTGTAGATCTTCTTCTTATCAATATAAATGTCTAAAGGTTTCCTGAGTAGCACTAAACTTTTGGCCTCAGTGATACTTTGAGGCAATGAGTTCCATAGATTGATTATGTAATGCAGGGGTCGGCAACGTTTGGCACGCAGCTCGCCAGGGTAAGCACCCTGGTGGGCCGGGCCAGTTTATTTACCTGCTGACGCGGCAGGTTCGGCCGATCGCGGCCCCC